ACAGTTGAGTTACAGGATTTTGTGTGCTTAAATCATTCAAATATAAAAATCCAGAGTTCTCCACAAACTAGTCGATAGGAGGCATAATGAAATGTAAAGCCAGAAAAGAAACTGGTTAAATCCCTTTAGAAAGTAAGTAACAAAAAAAAAAAACCAATGGATATACTTTTAACGTAATAGGTAGGTAAGTTTTGGGAATCATTTAATTCGTTAAATCTCTTCATATTATGGAAAGAGTTAGTCGCACAATAACGAGCTTGATTTTAACATTTAGTAATAGATATTTGTTTTTTTTTTGAGTAATTTTGGTAGGCTCCGGTGAAGGCTGAGTCAATTATTACGAGCCTAAATTCTCTTTGTACTACTAAGCTTGTTCATTAAGATAGCGTTTCGGACTCAAGCAAGCACTTATTCAAGCCCAACTCAACTGCTCATTTTGTATTACGGTGTTCCTTCCTTGAATTTGTTTCCTGACCTCCAGGAGGCTCAAAAGGATTTTTACGTGCAGGATATTATTATTATAAGGTTATGAACTACGGATTCGTTCACGATCGTCTAGGGTGTTCCTGTCAAGTGAAATTTTAATATCTAGTCTTAAACAAAATAGCGCTCTCTATGTACTATTTGTGTGCAAGTCTTTTGCTTGTTCACTCATAGTTAGATTCACCATTTTGAACGCCTGAGCGCAAGTTGATCAATGGAACATCTGCGAGCGAGCGCGTACAATTATTTCATGTTACGATAAACAATTACATATAAAGCCTATGAGAAGTAGGCTAGTTTTATCTGCGTACAGCCATTATAGCAATGAAAGAAACGACAGCTTCCAGTAATTATATCTCGACCGGTGCTATTGGACTATGCAAAAAACCTAACCCGTCGTCTATCGAACAGGGAGGGTCCCGTCGGACAGACCCTTCTTGGGCTTACGTTCCTCTCAATGAAAACGATTCGAGATGTTCACGCAGGCCACAGCAGCCGGCGGCAGACCTAACATGAATGGCGGCAGTAGCATCGCGCTATAAATGCAAGGAGACCAAGTTATACCACCACGATGTCCGATAAGCTACTATCGAACGATACTGCAAGCTAGATAGTTAGGCAGACTTCTAATGGATCTCTTCGACAAGTTGCTGTTTATGCACCGTGCTTGTGGTGCGTGCAAATGTTGGCCAACTTAAGGACATCAAGTAGAACTCACTAGACACGCTAGCCCACCATGCTATTGTGTATCGTCGCTAAAGAGAACGATATGCTAGCCTCATATATATAAAAGGTGCCAGCTTGCTAAGTGAAGCGCACAGAAATTCTAACGGTTACCGCGGTCTGCTCGGACGAAATTTGGGTTAAGGGCAATCCTGTAGAAATATGGATCAACTGGGGCCAATTGACTAATGCTGGCAGAAAAATAAATTATGGTCGAAGGGGCTCTCGAGTGAATTGCAAAGGGAACGTCTGCCGCGTGAGTTGTAGTAGGTTCTTTTGGCACTTGGTATTGAATCAGTACGAAGCACAGATATAATGAACCAACTGAGGACACAATAAACCGATAACATGGAAAAGAAACTGTGTGTGAAATAAAAAGCGCCACTTCAAAGTGGTAGGCCAGATATTTAGCATTACAAATCATAGAAATAATAATGACGTAATAAGTTGTCTTAGTATCGCGTTGGCATTTGTAGTAATTAGATCATGATTAATCCCAGTAATGAATTAAAAACAGACCGTTACGTCATCCAAAAATACACATACTCAGAAGTATTTTTCTACATAAGCTAGAAAGCCAAAGTGTTGAATGTTATATAAGCAGTTACAGAGAGTTTTTGTACGTGATATATAGCTTGCCAGTAAACAAGTGGCCATCGCGATAATATATACTATAGCGTGCACCATACAACTGACGATAGGGGAATATTCGCCCCGCTAGGGTAAATATCCCTCAGCAGAACTGAAATAAGTAACGTATGTTGTCCATTTTTTGCTGCGCTAATTTTCCCTGAAATATCGTCTCCATAGTAATGGTCAATAAGCAAAAATTAGATGTTCGTGTATTTTTTATTAAGTTTCATTATTTTTTTTTACCCTGTGCTACACCTGTTGCTCATTGTTAGTCAGTTAACAGTGGCTTATAATAGAAATTGCTAAGATGAAAATTCTGTGTTTTACTGTAACAGCTAAGGCGAGCAGAAAGGGAAAAGTTATCGACTGGGCCACTGATAACTTTATGATAAGCAAGCAAATAAGTAAAATGGCATTAATTGTGTTCGCTCCGGACGCATGCCTCATCTGTACCTATATGTTTCATAATAAAACAGACGTCGAAATCTCATTGTGCGGCGCGTTCATTGCGCTGCTATGGCCTTAGAAACCGAACCTTTACCATACTATCTGTATTCAAATACGGGAAACGGTTCGTCAGCGCGTTAAAATCGCTCTAGATCGATGTGGCTAGACAAGGCGCTCTTGCCAATGTATTGGGCGATTGTATACAGTTTCCTTTGATACATTGCACTTGCTTGTCGCATAGGATACCAGTTCTCGTAGCTATTTCCTTCTCTTTTCCTTTAGTTCTATTAGCTGTTTCCTGATCGCTCAACCCTGATCAATGTCTGTTTCGAAATCGCTCAAGTTTTCTAAGTTACAGCGATAGGCTATTGTAAACACTATAAATATTGGTAACAAGTATTCGTTAACAATAAAAGAGCTCCGCTAGTGTTCCAGCCGTTCATTTAGGTGTTATCTCGCACCAAGTGACTGTTGATTCGCGCAAAAGTTGACTTTTCCGAAAAATCCTCAGCTCAGAGTGCCAGCGCTTGCTATCGAGTAATTTCGGCCCTTTTGTAAAAGGTCAGGTTTTACTAGCCACCTTGGGATGTCAAGCCCAAAAGTAACAGATGAGAGCCAGTTGTGATAATGCTTATATCTGGCGACTCTAGTTCCATCCAAGGACATTATGCTTGAAGCGGAGTTGGCTGTCTTCCTACAAACATCCCTAAACAGATCAGATCAGATAGCTCGTGTCCGCCCATTCTATTTTTTTTCTGATAAAATTGTATGTACTAGAAAGGGAACTGCAAGCTCTCATAGAGCGATCGTTCAAAACAAAAATATAAACGATATTCTAGTTCAGAACTAGCTTTTATCTGTCATATCATCTAGAGCGGAACAAAGGTAGAAAAAAAACCGAGCTAAAACATTCATGGTGCATGTAGGTTCGACATTTTATTTAGACTATTTAGACGTTCGTCAGCTATTCTTATTCTATGGTTTGTTGTCTATTCTCTTATGATAGTGACCTCTCCCCAGAGCAAAAGGACTAATTTTTGGCAAACGCCAATGGGATATTCAATCGTTAGTGAAGTCGAATTTAACGGCTCCGAGAGCATATATTATCTGCAACTCGACGCTGTATTATTGTTCCGCAATGTGCGATGAAATCTTAATAATAGATTACGTATAGTAAAACGAATTGCTTCGTTGGTACAGTGGTCCCTATAAGGGCTATATGACGAGCTTGACGGACGGGGCATATGGTTGTCTATTCTCGTGCATGCTTAGTCCAGCCTGAAAGAGAAGAAGGTAATAAAACTGTAACTTGTTTTATAAGTTACAGTTTTATTACCTTATTAGGTCTGGTTTACTATAGCCTTATGGCAGGCACGTGTATCGGGAATTCCATTATTCTTTCCATAGATCTGATCTAGTAACGGAGAGCATGTACAATTTGATCATTCATACATCCGTATAGTTGTGAAATGTCTTTTATATATACGTGACATATTGATGCAGTCAGTTGTACCGCAAAAAGTTGTTTTGACTTGTTTCACTATCTGTGTGCACCTCGTTCATTCGATAACGATAGTAGACTTAGTGTGGCAAAGGGTTGCCAAGCGCGCCGATGATCCATACGACATTTCAACATGTGTAAAATTCTTTTTGACCCATGTGCTAAGCAGATCGGACAGAGAATATAAAGTAATCGAAGGATCAAAGGGAAAACTTAGCACATGTAAGGAACACCTGGTACGAAAGTGGTAAATATCAAAATGCTATACGAAAGCCAAAAGTATGTACTGACTATGCGAGAAGATTGTGATGTAAAAAATATGATAGATCAATCAGACCATGTCAAATGAGTATTCGCTGAGACGATATAGTATAAAGCTGGTATCTCATCGAAGATCAGAGAACATGCCCAGCATAACGCCGACTTTTTCTGAAAATTTATAGAGAATTACTTTGTGTATGTATAGAGAAATATTTAAGAAATAGATCCGGGTGTGTCTTCATTCGCAGAATTAGCTTCAAAAACGTGAATCTTCACGCTGAGTTATGATACCACAGCTTGATTTGAGCGTTCCCCAAGACCATTTCTTCAAGTATAAATGTGCTCGATTCCTATCTATGTTATGCGCAAAGCTTAGTGAGTGTTCCGCGCGATAACTCGTTCGCTGCACTGTCTGGCATTGTTTAGAGAACTAAATCTTTCTTTAACGTCACGTAAGCTTCATATAATATATCGTAGCTCGCATATATAGGGTGAGACATTTAAGTTTGAACAAACTTAGGCTGCCCGTTTGTCGTAGCAGACATGCGTTCGTCCGATATTCTTAGCACCATAAACATCCCAGTTCTATTTCTAAGCGAACAATAAACTTATTATGGAGGAAAATAGTACGCCGTTTTCGTAATTTCAGTTTTTTCGGCGCCGGACCAACCCTTACCAAGGTTAAATACTTATTTTTTGTCCAAATTCGCCGGTCAATGCCACAGCCAGTTCACAAATCCGTGGAAGACTTCCTAGATGGAAAACCGTCCCTAGGGTTTAGATTTTAAGAGCATGAAAATTAACCAAAACGGCTTAAGAGGCTATTTTTGATATATATATATATATATATATATGTCTAGGCTTTTAACTCAAATGAACGGTCGTTACGAAGAGGAGAACACGCACTGCCAGAAATAAGCTATGAGATTTGTTGTGCTTTTTCAATTTTTAATTGTAGTCATATTGCTCTAATGTAACACACGGCTTGCATTCTGTAAATAATACGTAAAAGGTCTTAGTCGCTCTTTACTGTACTCCGTACTACTGACTGGTTTCGCAATGATGCTCAGCGTTAGCCTCTGCTATAGCCTTTACGAGCTTGCTCATCACGAAGATGCATGCAGTCCCACAAAATCATGGTAACCCAACGCATACAAACAGCGCAGTCGCATAGAGCAATGCACGTCCGCTCATTTCTCCCGCCAACTTTACTTACGTAATTTGATCATACATCGATCAAAGCGTCGTCTGCCACTAATCAATCATCAACAGGCCTCTAATGGATCATGGCTAAATTTTGCGTGCCAGATTCTTCTTGAATTAAGCGCCGCTACTTTGGGATATGTAAACGAGTTTATAATCTGTTGTTGTAACAATTTGTGCACGATAAACGTATCGTCAGAGTTATGTGCCCAGGTGTGTTTCTAACGGCAGAAATTAAGTTATCTATGTTATTAGCGTTTAAATAGTTGTTTACTTATTCGTTTTATCCGATGTAAATTGACTGGTCCAAAAATTCGTTGATTCGATTTAAGGACAGAATCTAGGACGGCTCTTAGTAGCACCTTAGTAGACCAATGATAGAGGTTATCTTCTTCATACTATTGTCTTGTTCAGTTACGCTGGTAAGTAAAAAGGTGTAGCATGCCTCTGTCGCATATAGAATGTTTCCACATATCTATGGTTAGTAGCCAAAAGACTAATTTCGAGTCCCTATGGTCTGATTTTTCTGCGTATTAAATATTTATTAACATCTAAGATGAAATAAGGTATCACGCCAAGATGAGGCCGAAGGAATTTGTCTGTTCATTAGAAAAATACGCTTTTTTCGTGTACGAAATGGTCAGATCTATTTAGTACTCAAAAATATGTCTTCGATTCCTTATCATTTGGCTGCCCCGCGTACTGAAAGATTCTAAACGGTCTTAGAAAGCGTTAGAAAGATCGCGCTTGTAAACATTTCAGATTGGAACGGGCATCTACTGACAAATTTTCTACGCCAGGTTTCAAGTTAAGAACGAATCGCTAGAAACAAGAATTTAGTGGTCATATAGGACTTAAATCTCAACGCTGAACAAATCCTATCATTTATATAAGGGTACTGTCAAGTTTGTTAGATTTCTGATGAAATTGTCAAGTAATGCTTAGCGTTTGTACTGTCTTACAACGCACAAATTTATTTAGGCGACTGAAGTAGCCTACAAGGTAAGAACATCAGGACGTCAGCTTTTCTCGAAATAAGCGGAAAAAAGTAACAGGGTTATTTACCCAGAGAGAACGTCGGCTGGTTTGTGCACTGGACTATCGCAATGCGGCGAGCGACTCAGGTAAGGACCGTCGAGTTTTTATATTCAAGGATCTATACCTAATGAATAGGAACAGGTTGTTGTCCATTGCACAGATTCAATGGACAACGAAAATGTATTGCGGACAAAAGGTCTAACTCTGATATTTAATGGAAATGGTAGAGGCCGTTTGTTCATCTGACTGATGTGATGTCTGACCCTGATAGAAAGGACTGCAGTAAATATTTGCGCTTTATTTCGCTTAGGTGATCTTACATGGACTTCTAATGGTGTTCATATTCGGCCATTACTCATTTGGGAATAAAACCAGGACATCAGGCGAATCAGATTTTTTTCGTTTATTTTCCTTCTTTGATTGCCTCAACCAAACAGAGAAATACCACATCGTCAAACATCCTGATACGATATTGAACGGTACGTTAGCGAAAGTAAACTTTTGCAAGACAGAATGTCTTCGAACGACAAGCTGGTGCAACTAAGCAGCATTTCTATGAATTTAAACATTCTACTATTCAAGTACGCGTAACCTTCCGTAGAGCACAACCGATCTATTTCGAGCCAAGCATGTCATAGCTTCATTTAGTCGATGGTAAATGTATGTTCGAGAATTTATTCGAAACCTATAATAATTTGGAATTTCGATATACTACGATGTTCAAAACAGAACAGAAGAAGCCGAACATCACAGACGCTATGATACACCACATGCCCTCGAAGCCGATGTGTGGTAATTATGCCAGCAATAAAACGAATGACCTCGGCAATTCGCCGAAAACGTCGTCCGAAGTGCCATGGGCACCTATTCGTAAAAAGCAGACGACAAACGTTGACGTGGCTATCCGTCTCCGACGTGAGACGCCCGAAGGTATAGCAGACCCGCATAGCATACCGCGAATGAACTCGGTGGATGCCAAGGACCGTGTTACTTCACAGGAGGCATTGGCTCGATCCACTAATTACCAATTCATAGTAAGTTTCAATAATCCTTACTATACTCATGCGAAGCTTTGCTTTGCTTTGCTTATTGAGTGACTTAAAAACCGGGTACTGCATCTGTTACATATGATGATCTTTTTCTATAACAACAAAACAAAATAACAAACAAAAAAATTTGTTTGTCTAATTTATTTTTCTTTTTAATTTCTCTTTATCAAAATGCTAATGCTCCTGAAAACGCCGCAGAAACCAATTTCAAGAAAGTCATTCTCAAGAAATACAGCTGTTTGGGGTAGAAGCATGGTCCGTCGTCCTAAATTTCATTGTCTACTCTTCTTGAAAAACTTCTCCCTAAAACGAAAAACAAGCCAAAATCTAACGGAAAGACTGCACTTTTTTCTCCTACTGTTTAGCTGATCACCGATTCTGTCATTTTCCGTAGGTTTTAGATGACCCTAATGGTGAAAAGGATGCGCCTCGGAAAAATTAAAAAATAATATGGTCTCCCTATAAACATGACTCTAAATCAATGCGTTTCAATGTGGTAGGATAAAAACAAGGTAGAGATTTTTTTCTAGCACACGGATAGATTGGCAACAACGTATTCGATCTATATGTTAAGTTTTTATCTAATTCAATCCAAAACACCAAAACTTTAAATGTATAATAGGACGATAAAGAAACAAATATACTGATAGTTAACAGTAACCTTCATTCATATCAGTTGCCATGGGATAAAGTACGTAAGGAAGGCAAAAAAGAGAAACTGCAGGACAGAGCTAACGATTTTGAATACTACAATGACGATGCTGACGACGACGACGACGACGGCGATGCAAAAAAGGACGGTAAGCTTCACAGTTCACACTGTATATGTCGATAGTAGGAATATTTCTGTTCTATGAGCCTGCTTTTTGGTATTCGGCCTTGCTTCAGGTTCACTTCGTCTTCTCCATGAATAACTAACTTGGAAACTTTGTCTTTTTTTCTTTAAAATTGTAACATTCGTCCTGTAGTTGCAATTCAGTATATCATCGACAACTAGCTCCCATCCCTCAATAAGCGAGACCCTGATAGGCGACGTTTAGAAGGGTGCTTATTGGTGATGACATTTAGTGAAGGTACTCTAGCAAACCACAAAAGTACTGCAAGTTCATTACTAAATCTTAATAAAGCATAATTCTAACGCTTTTGATGTCTTTTAATCCATACGGGTATTCCCGCTAAAGATTCTGCCGAATCCAATACGGACCTCGAGGAGCTACATGACATGTTAGTGAATCATCTCGGCCGCATGAGTCCTGGTAATTTGGCTCGTCTTATGAATAGGCTCTACCATGCAACCAATTTCGAGGGCTCTGAGATCCAACCATCGAGATGATTACGCCCATCAAACTGTCTGTAGTTTGTTTTATCAAACATTCATTTGGTATTTTAAGCCCTATATTCTCTTCTTATTCCGAGCTTGTGTATTCTTGCAAAAACACCTAAATAACTGGAAGGTCTTTTTTTTTTTATTATTTTTAAAATATTGTCCTTTTCAAAACACGTGGAAATTACGAAATAATATGTTTTCCATAATGCCAATTATGGGAGAACCGCAAGCAGATGACTCATGAAACCGAAAAGAATTGTGTCACTAGATAATCATCACTGCCATCTGTCACTTAATTTGTGACTGAATGACAGTGCCGGCTGTCAGTCACACTTTTATCATTACTGATAGGAACGTTCAACGTAAAGTGGGTGAGAGCAGTGGCTGCAAATGATAGCTCAACAAATAAATTCAACCATACCAATAATTATATCCAGCTTAAAAGTAATAATTCAAACGCTGTACATATATACGAAAGATATACAGTATATGACAAATTGCCAGTCCTAAATGCCTCATGTACATGCTAACGGTTTTTGAGTATGATTTTTTCGAAGATGTCGCGAATAAATAATACCTTATACTAATGTAGCGCTGTGATTGAGAAGTTTAACTCGAGGGTATTATGTACACGATGCTTCCAAAAGTGCTACGAATATAAATCGGTCGAAAGCTCACCAAGCTATCCTTTCTAGGCATGTTAACTGTAGCTAGCAAAAATTTGAGAAAATACGGATCTCTCGTCCCGACGGACATGGTCTAACGATTTGTGATTGATTACATTTGCTGTCCCAATGATTCGCGTCTCCATTGTTGATTCGTCTTGGGTCAACTGTAATGGATGAACTTACCTGTAGTAGATTTTTTCATCATCTTTATAGAAATTAAAGCAGGTTCAAACTTCAAAAGAAGGGCCCTTTTCTCGAGTTCTTCAAAGGGTTACCGCCATCTCGTTCAACCTAACTTGGTGAATTTAACAACAACAACAAGACACACAGTTCGGCCTTTTCGAATGCATCTAATAGGTCGTGCCTGAGTGCTACCCGGATAAGCCCTAGCGACATTCGGATCATCTGGATGGCCGTACCTGTTACCGTTTGCTTGCAAACGTACGAACGCAATGAGCAACTGGAACCATTAAACACCAGAGCTACTCTATATTTTCTCTATATATATATATATATAAATGCGTATAAAATAATGCGTGTAGTTTATTTAAGTGCATGTCTCAGATACGCAATCCTCAAATCATAGATACAAACTTAAATACATTTATAAGCTAAAAAAAACTATAAGTGTTCAATTCTTTATTGTCACCTCAAGTCTAACATTTGGTTTCCCTATGTGCATGCTATCCTTTTTTTTTCCTATTTTGAGTAATTAATAATAACTTAATGCAACTTTGGTTATTATTTATTTTAAAACGGAACTTAATTATCCGCGTTTATCGATAGGCTATTCGGCAGTGAACTCATGCGAGCACAGTGCAATATGGAACACAGGCGCTCGAACGGCTGTACTAACGTTATGTATAGAACACCTATTACGATTCAATTACTCTCTATACTTATTTATCTTTACAGCGGAGCTATGAAACAGTTCTAAGATATATTGAAGATTAAAATTGCAATTCCGCATAGATAGATAGCCATTCTATCACCCAGCAACGAGATTCAGTCGCAAGTTTCGCTGGCCTTCTCAGCTGTTAGGGCTAGAGGTCGGGTCACGATGTGTTCGTTAGCATTGATTTAGGTGCAGTTAGCACGAACTGTCAGAATAAGGATGTAAGCAATTATCTATGCACTACTTTGTAGATAAATTTTTCTAGATAATAATATAGAATTGTTTCAAGCGTGAATTGGAACTGTTACTTAGCTGGGTTCGATAAAGCCTACTATCCCTATTGAGGCCCAAAGTACTGTTATTGCGTCCTTACGGTAACCGTCGACACTCTTTCACCAACAAGCATAACTTGTGAGAATCTGACGGTATTCGGTACTGATACGACACAATTGACTAGAAAAGTCTGCATTGGCATGTTTTTCTGTTTTGAAATGCAGCTATTGGAAATTTGGATAGGCTCAAGAGTACGATACACCGGACAGTAGATTGTGCGGCGTGTTACTCTTCAGTGTTATTTACAGCTTAATAAATATGGTTGTTTCACGCCGATTACTATATCCAAAGGAGAGCGCTCAGTTAGCGGTTTGGCAGCAGAGAGATGATTCTTAGGATTTTTGATAACCTGGTTTTTGTCATAGAGAAAAGAAGACGATATAGTTGTCTCTAAGTGAGTGAAACATTTCAGAGAGCTGAAAAATAAATATCAGCATAGTGAACTAAGTATCTTCAAAATATTGTAAACGCTGTTATTCCTTCATATAAGTATATGGTCCTAATAACCTTGAAAAATGCCCATAGACATTAGCTTAGGTGAAATTCTCTCGGTTAGAAAGGCTGTCAGGAGCTGGCAGTTTTAGGTTTGCAACTGATCCGAATAGGATTATAAGGATGCGCTTCTTCTGTTCCCATAATTTGAGCTGTGTGCGAATTTTTCTTTATATAAACATTTGCCCTAATGATGTTTTTATATACACTACCAACGGGAAAGCTATTTAATAAGGCTGAAACTCCTACTTTTACTCCTTTACTTCTAACCGCCTTTGCTGTAGTTTTATTAAAGAAATATAATTTGTGCCATTTAGAATACTATCTGCACAGACGCTGTCTTGTGGCAGATCTTTCTCGTATCGACTGATCTCTAAGGTCTGTAGAAATTTTTCAATAGCCTTGTGACTCGATTGTGTTCTAAAGCTGGTAGATGCCAATTAATCGTAAAGCCAGAATAGATTTAGTCGTTGCGATAACGTCAAATGGTAAATCGTATCGGTATTAGATTGTCGAATTCTTCGACAGTCCTACCCGTTTTAGTCTACCAGAGCCGTCCATAAGTATCGAGGACTGTGAGATTGCTAATCCTATTTTCAGCCGGCCATTTTTTCTCATAAACTTAGTTGAATTTAGTTAACTGCGCACTCACATGGGTGTGAGCTGCAATAATAGATGGATTTATCGTTTCTAAAAATGTACTGTTACTTATTCAATGCATCCAAAGTAGCCGGTCGCCATATGAACATAAGGCTTACAGCAAAGGACATTGGCGCAAAAAAGTTTCGCAAAAAAAGGGTATGCCTTCGTTCTAATCGGTTAGAAATCAAATTGGTTGATGCGTCCTGTGTACAGATGCTGTTTATTCAATTTTCGAAATTGTGCTGTGAAGAGTTTCATGTCCGCCGTTTGCATTCTTATATACATATTAAAACCGCGAAAAATCGAACGTGAGTGTTCGAAAGGCAACTGTGGTATGACGTTTGATACGGTTTGTCAGAGTCGACAAGATGGCTTTCACTTCGTATTAAATAATCTCTAAATACGAGGTCGATGAAATAATTTTCTAGCGCAATCCTATTGCTCCATGATCCTGTGATCTCTATCGGGCTGTAACAGCTACGACGAGAACATACTATTGCCGTGACCTTGTGTGTAAATACAGTTCAGTGCGGGTTGTACATATCGAAATAAGGTGGCTAGATCGGAACGGCTTGCCAATCCGGACCAGGTTATCCAAGTTAATGCCTGGTGACAAAACCAGCAGCGTACTTTGAAAATTAGCTATCTGGACTAGTTTGCCGCGATAAATTTTATCCGTGTAAGCGGTGTTTTTTTCCACTCTGACAAAATCGAGCTTTGTCATTTGGCGCCGTAACACTAACCTACTTACGGCTTGATGTCTTTCAGCTAAAATAATATGCTGAATCATAAAGCGAAAATGGTTTTTTATTCTAAAAGAATCCCCAAAGCAGCCGTTCTACACTGAAGATAGTTGTCATTTGTATAAGTTCGTAGTTATCTACAACTTGAGTACACGCTGAGATTTCGTGACAAATATTTGTTCTTGTCCGCGATGCCTTAACTTCTCAAGTGTATGCAAAAAATACCTTAAAATAGCGCAGTATTATTTGAACTTTATAATATAACAGTCAGCATTAAAGTGTTGTCAGAGCATGTGCACATGAAAGATATTAAACTGCTGGTACTTTCTAAGCCAAATTAGAACAAAGATATTATAAAACTATATTATCAAGCTAAATATACTCGATTACTTTCTGTCGCTCTTCTGGTAACACAATAATCACATCACTGCGTAATTTTCGGCGTAAAAAACTGTGATCCGTGCTTTTTTATATTCTCTAAAAAATAGATACTATTAAGGTACGGAAATGGTCCTTCAGGGACCAAAACAGATGACACAAGATCCGGGCTACATGGCGGATGCATTAAAATGTCTTACCCAAATTCTGTTAAGTTTTTTTCGGGTAATTCAACATTATATGTGCTCGTGTGTGAGTAATGATGCAAGACAATGCTCCTTCCGTTTATTTTGCTCATCGTTGACTGACGGAAGTAACTTAAGTGAACCTTTTTGTCACGTGGCAACAACTTATAATATGCGATCCCTTTTCAATGCCGTCAAACAAATAGCATGACATTCCTTGATGTCAATCTGAACTTTGCCACAAGTTAAGCCTTTTTTTTTTGTTCTATAACCTTCTTTACACATGATTGTTGATATATATGATTGACCAGCCGTAGTCAGCTAGCTCAACTTCTAGATCAGGTATTTTTCTATAAGGTTTTTTCTATAAGAAATGAAAACAATCGAGTAAGTCTTCTTTGCGTCAACAGGTTTTTGTAGCTAGCTTTTTCAAATGGCATTTAGTGATGTCATGGCTACCCACGTGTTGGTCGCGCTTAATTTTCGCAATAATTCCGTCCACTTCCTTTATAAAAGTTCGATGCGCTGACATTTGCAGAATAAAAGTGATAGAACATATATAAACCGTTTCTTCCGATAATGCGTTTTGATTATAGACAGTATAATTTTTTTTTTTTTATGAGCCTGTATAGTGTTTGTGCTCTTATTTTGATGAAGTTACAGAATATAGCGGATTCAATTTAAATCATCTTCAAAACGCGTCATCTTGCATCTGACTAGAAGCATTCGATCAATTTTAACGCATCCACTACTATCACACCTCAGCTTTCAAAGAGTACCTGGGCCGGCGCGGCTCGTATTACCTGAGATCTTTGAGCTGAAAGGCCTCTAACTGGAAAAACAACCGGTAATACTTTTTTCGATTACTCAATACTTGCGGCTCCACTCTCAAATAGCTTAATACTATAAAAACATGTCGTTTGGTGTAATTTGCTTTCGAGCATTTAGCCTAGGTAACAGGCTCATTACTTTGGTAGCTTAAGCGACTACCTTTAGAAAGTACCTTAAACAAGTTAATTTAAACGTAAGTACTTTGGGTAAGTTAATTGGACCATACACGGGCAAATACGCCCCCATCCCCTATCAAGCGTTAGAAAAATAAGCTAATGAGTGCCAGCTATAATTCCGCAGTTCGCGGGTAGTTTTCACGGTGCTTAATTTTGCTGGCAGGGTCTATAGTTATCATCGACCTAAGGATGGACCTCCGAAGCTTACCAAATCGACATCTGTCTAACAGTTGACTGTTCCAAAGTCTAGTAAAAGTTTATGCGGAAGATAGCTAAAAACTTTAATTATCAACAATCTACATATATTTTTTACTTTTACGGTAAAATAGAGAAAAAATAATTCGCTAACACGTCATACTACGCAGACGACACTTCAGATGTCGTATATAGGCGGACAATTAAAAGGAGTGAATAAACATAAACTTTCCTGTTGGGCTTATTTACCTGTTCCTGGTTTAGTGGCACGTCTTCTTTTGTGTCGATTTATTTTGATCGTTATTGCAAAACCCAGTGTTTTTAGCCATGGTACTTGCTCGACTCAGACATGCGTACATTTACACACACACACGCCAACTGGCAGCCTGTAAGCAAAAAAAAACAACGTAAAAAACAGCAACAGTTGAAGCCTGTTGAAGAACAGTATACATTTGTTTATCATCTCGGGCGGCATTGCCCTTCGTATCTCGTACTCGCATTTCGTGACTGCCGTATGTTACGAAACAACGTGAGGAAGGCTTCGTCGCCCTTTCCTTGAGAGCGGCAAGCACGGACGGAGCGACCGACGACTCTCAACCGGTCAACACTCTCCGACCGCTAAAACGCCTACCGCTATTGCTATTATAAGCATTATTATTATTATTATTATTATTAGAAGTACTTCTATTGCGTCCTGCGTGCATTCGATCTGTGTGGTGTTAATTGTTGTTATTGTCACAAGACAAGCAGCCACCCTCGCCAACTTTTGCCATACACATATTGTAATTGTGTGTTAGCTTGTCTATGCTGGCTAGCTGTGTTTGTTGTCGTCGTCTACGACGTCGTCCTTAGTTACCAGTAGCACACACATCAGCGTGACAAAACAGTGTCAGCATGAGCGGCGATTGCAGGGCAGTAGTACATTATAATTGCCCGATACCTTTCAATGAAGTCCGGCTTCGGCCTTTTCGATCCTTTTGAAACTGCTGGCCTTTAACAAGGTATCAGCTCCAAGCAGATGCGTGTGGTTTGCGGACTTTTCAACGTTGCGCTATCTAACTACTTGATCTGCCGGCAAACTAAGTTATCCGTGTGTGAGGTACGACCGAACGCTTTGGTGCGCTCAGCTGTGACGCTTGCGAGCTAAAGCCCCTTCAGTGGAGTTATTTCGGAACAGCAGCTCGGCCAGTGTTTAGTAACTGTGTTACCTACATGCTCGTTAATTTCTTCGGCAGTAGTTACCTTTCATACAATCATATCCACGGGTCACTTCGAATCAGCCTAGGCAGTACATCCATACTAAAGTTTGTTTCTGCCTGTTGTCAGACGCTGCTACCGTCGCTGCCGACAACTAGCTCTTCCTTCGCCCCTCGACTTCCCCGCTCACCAGCCCACTCCCTTTCTCGTATTCATGGGACTTCTTATAGCTTCGCTTGCTCCTGGGTTCTTGCCCTAGTCATGCTCCGTTTGCTGCTGCCTGCGGGGTACAAACACGGCGACCGAATATTCAACAAATAGCATCGCTTCGCTTGTAGCAATAGCACTACGAGTCGCGGGGGCAAGCGCGGGTGCCGCTAGCAACGGCACTGTCGTAACAGGATCGTATAGCAATGGTGACGGTATGAAGTAAAGGAAGTGAGTTGGTCAACCAGGCAGTCTAAGTGAGTGAGCCAGCCAGCGTACGCGATTGACGAAGTAGAATGCTGATGGGGCAAAGGCGAACTGAACAAGTCACCCCAATATTCAGCGCCGTACCCCCAAAAACGTATCACCGTTAGCGAAATGGATAGATCGCGCCAGCCTTTAAAAGGTTGGCTATCACATTTAACTATTGTAGTCTTCGTGGCACCTCTAAAAGCCAGTGAATACCCCTAGATGTGTAACTATTTTATAACAGTATTGTATGTTCGTGGCTTTCTAGGGATACGATAGCTGGCACAATAACACTAGTAGGCAAAGCCTTGCAACGCGAGAAAGGCCAAACAAATAACGAACGGATAGCGCCCACGGGGCAGACGGCGACGGTAACTAAGATCTGCACAGAGGGATGAGCGTTAGTCAGCTGGTCGAACGCTCGATGCGGCAGCAGTGGCAAGACTGATGATCTTAGCACATAAATAACAGCAGCGGCAATTCAATCGGCTGCTAGAAGTGTGTCAAAAAAAAAAAAAAAGTACTTTTCTTATGGACTGTTTTTTTGTCCGGTTCATTGGCGACTGTTTCAGGAGTGAGTGATTAAGCTGTATCGTTTGTGATTTATGCAGCAGTGATTGCTGCTACTGTGTACATCCAATGTACAACAGCACATCAGTTTTTGCTGCCAAAAAAATTGGACGACAGTTCAACTCGTAACGCCGTGATTTAGAGAATGCTAGTGGTGCATTAGAAAAACTGTTTGACGCACACATGTTTGTGTTTCTATTTATTATGGTATAGATAGATTAATCGTCACTGGATCTCATCAGTGTCTCCCTTGGTGCTATCGTTGACGAATTAATAGTTCAAGTGTTCAACAGCTGGTGCCTACGCCATCGAAATCACAGCCGGTATGGTATTCATTTGATTCATAGAAATGGCTCTAGCACTTCAATTGCATACAAGCGTAGGGGAGGTACGAAAATATTGCAGTCTTCATCTTCGCAGCTTGTGGTTCGTCATGGCGAAGTGTAAATGCATCATGTAGACTTATGCTACTCCATCTATTACAGACTGAAGTCAGTCTTGCTATGCTTTTTCTTTGACGAAAGTTCCAGTCACAGTATCTGTGCTGACACGGGTGTGCGTGCTTTCTAGTTATAGCAGGAACAGCTGTTGTTAATGGGCGCACAGTAATGATGTAGTGCACCACGTGTTTCATAGCGAAGTTTGTCTGTCGCTAACACGCACCTCCCCGTAATGCCTACTTTGTTTCATCATAGTTGCCTCCACTATTCCATGCTGCAGATCTGTTCTGCTTTGTTCGAGCTATCAAACGAGCGGCCCGTCGTTATCTGAACACGGTTCATGACTCTAAATTACCCCTGTCTAATAAATTCGATCTATTCCATGATTCGTCCAGGAGTCGTAGACGGAAATATGCGAGTCGCTAATCCATTTGGTGTATGTTCGGTAACTTCGTTGAAAAAATGTTGACCCTGTTACTCTACAGCACCGTGTCTCAGAGGTAAACGTACCTGATCCGAATGATCAAAATGGCTAAAAGACGAGATTGACGAAACGGAAGAATGAATAGGATTTTGGATCTTATTATGGTCGAAGTATTGTAATAGGCAGCATCACTAGAGCTCTTAAACTCATGGATAGATGGGCTTGGTTTTTACTTTACAAGCTGTACTGCTATAGGACTCATGCCTTCTTTAGCCTGTGACCACGCTTTAAATTATATCGGCCTTCTGTTTAATTGTTCTCGTGAAAGGCGACTGTAAGATGAAGCCGAGGACGTTCATAGTGGAATTGACCGAAATGATAACGGTTGCGAGGTAGGGGGTCAGGCTTTCAAGAGCCCTATCGATGCATGGTGATGATCTCTGGCTTTTTCCGTAGCGCATATCTAGCAGTTGTGACACCTTCTGAGTGAACAGAATAGTTAAAGCTCGCCTTGCACCGAGCAATACGCAGCCATAGTGACATCTACACAGAAATGTTATGGATGACGGAAAATGCTGTGTTTACGTCAATACGTAACAGAGAAAGTAGTGGCGGCTCCAAGAGATGTACCTAAGACCAAATCTCCACTCGATGCTAGGGGCCATGATGTGGGTTTGATGGGCTGGAGAGGATCTTATACCCTCGAAAATGCTTAAGAAAGACAAGATGGTCAACAAAAATACGCTCATGGCTCAGTTGATCAGCCGATTGAATAAGGCTATCCAACAGCAGCCACCCGATAGAAGAAGAGTCACCTTCTTCCACAGCAATGCATGGCCACTACACATTACAAGGACCGCGGAAGCTGCCCCGCAAGCGCCAATGGGGTTCTTTTGTATCCATCACATTCTCAAGACATCTTGTAATTCTAGCACAAGCAGTGTATATATGGCAATGAAAAGAATCTTAAAAATTGGCCTGGCGAAATGTTCAGCATCTGATCTGAGAAGTTCTGGTAAGAAGAAATATGTCATCCGGTTGAAAGTTGGATGAAAACACGTAATAAATTAATACGTTGCTAAGATTGTTTATCGGTCGAGCAAGTTGTGCAACTATGTAATATAGTATTATCCTATTTCCCATATAAACATGTACCTTACACAGGGCAATCAATACTGAAGAGACTTATCACAGTAATGATTATAAATATTTAGTTAGCTCATTACTAGGTGCGATAGTTTATCACTAATTGAGGTAGCTGAAATCTGGTCGGAAAAAAAAAGCCAAGTAAACGATAACAGCAGCAAGACGTGTTTTTTTTTTTTATAAATAGGAGCAATGTCGGGCAACGGTTAGAGGTGAAACCACGACGCTCTAGCTTTTGTTATTAGTTGTATGATATTTGTAACTTGATGTGCACTCCAGACTACAATGGCGCTTGCACCTGCACCATATTACTATTTTTTTTTACGCGACTTCTGCGCCGTTGTATGCATTGCCTTAAGCCTTTTCCAATTGAAACACGAACATCAAATCCCCTACGAGCTGTTTTTTTTTTAAGAGCAGAGCACTTAGCTATAAAGTATCGACAGACGACTGGTCTTATAATTGTTTGGCGACTTAGAAACATGGCACCTGTAATAGCGAAGGAAATAAAAAAAAAATTGCGATAGAATACAGACAAACCGAAGGCGACCTGAATAGCAGCAAAACAGCCTGCAATATGGGCCTGGATCGTATCATACTTCGGTGCGCGCACGCAGAAGGAGGGATCACGGTGTCAACTTCTATTATAGGTATCTATCTTAATTTACAAATGCTTTAAGAATAGGAGAATAATAATAATAATAATAATAATAATAATAATATAGTTTCTGTTTTATTAGCTTCGCCGAAAAAATACGTTTGCTAGCCCTCTAAAATAGTGAAAACTGTTTCGTTTCTACAATGCAAATTGGCCTACGCTTTTTGGCCGCTCGTTCAAAACGGTCCTATTCGCTATGATCGTTCAATGGACGCCATGTCTTTTTTGTAGATAGTTCTCAGCAAATTCAATAGGTGAATGCGGTTTACGGGTGGAAGGCCCTGGCAACAAGGGGTAAATTCACGAAGAGTCACAAACAATGATCGACTTGAAATTCAAGTACCGAGTAATATTTATGGACAGAGCTTAAGTTCTCTTCAATATTTATCTTCTCCTTGAAGCTCAAACACAATGGTCTTATTCTAACACGTTTTCATCTCATTCTTAGATTCATGTGCGTCATAGATTAACTGACAATCTGGTTGGCTTCGCAGCTGTTATGTTCCCGTCTCTGGCACATTTTGCTTTAGCTAGCCAAGCAGTAAATAGTCGACGGCTTTCCACGATTGCCTGCGCGATTCGCACACGTTTCGTTGTTATCGGGGCGCTGCAAGCGGCACACGCTTTCAGTTGTGCGCGCGCAGGACGCCGACAAAAGCGGCAACGATTTGGTGACAAAACGTTTCAGACGCTAGGGCGGGGAGTTGACTCCGTTCGGGGCAAGAAAAAATACGTGCGAAACCGTTGATCACTGTCAAATATTCCCGATAATTTGCTTCTAACCTACCTCCATCATTGTAAAATCTCAACGGAAGTGGTAGAAAAACCGCTGTGAACACAAGCGATGGCAAGTTATTCGCTGTTTTCGATGGAGGCATGTAAAATAGAAAGCAATGTCATTGACACCGCTATACGTATACCCTAGCCGAACCAATAGTGGAATCTAAAAAGTATCAAGTGGCAACAGAATTACAAGAACTGGAAGGGGACATTTTAACTGTAGTCAGCCGCTAAACTCGAACTGTTAATGAATAGCTGATAAAGATATGGCTAGTATGACTGATACGGAAGAACCCGATTGGAGTGCCTAGAAGCTGACTTGATGCGTCGCGGTCTACAGGCCTCTAGCAGAATTTTAGCAGCGAATTGCGTACTCGGGGACAATTACTCTTAGTGTGGTACCTGTATAAAGTTCAGAACCACAAATCTCCGCCAAACTATTGCAACATGATAGACTTGAGCACTGCGGTGACGTCTGCACGCTATATACGTCGCGATAATTTCAGATTACATGCCATGTAAAGGAGACCCATACCGGAATCAGTTTATTCCGCGTATCGTTCCGTTAACATTCGGTCGATCCCTAATCATTCTTGGTTAAAGCTGCAAACCACTAACGGCGGAGGAATCGTTGGTGATTAAACCATGAAACAATGAGTTTGTAGCTGATCTGCCTTCGATGATATAGCAAATGGTGGGAGAGCCTCTGATTCAAATTCGACCAGTTGATAATAAAAGTTTGAAAGCATCAGCGTGCCTCTAAACGTGGCAAGGTAGAGAATGAGCAGTGTCGCACAAACCAGCTAAATGAAGTCTCTATGGATGACTTGTTCGCGTAGTCATAACCGACTTAAGATGTGCTCTGTTATTATACAGTGATTTTTATGGAAAAGTTAACTAATCATTATAATGACACGCAGGTTTATCATTCTTGTTCATCGTATATTCCGTAGCCGCAGTAGAGTTTAATTTTCACGCTTGCAACGTATTCACGGAGCAAGCCCGCCATTTTCAAAGTGCGCAGCTAGCACATCCTGTATAGGCCGTCTTCGGCCTTTGAAATCGTTGTTCCGGCACCTCTGCCAGAGTTGATGTTAAGTGAATGAGGTGTGGAGACGGCGTGCAGGACACAGGATTAGGATAAAGTAACGAAACAACGAACGACTTTCGCCTTAAACCTCATGAGTGATGTACTACACTATGATTTATAGCTGATAGTTGCTTAGGAAATGCCATTGATATTATAGTTTGAACTATTTGTGAAAAAGCCAATGGCCAAACTTCGCATGGAGATTAAGCTTCATGTTTTACATGACGACTAAACATAAATCGTATGTTTCAAAGAAAACCATTTACCGTGCGTTGGGCTGCAATGGTCCTTTACGTTCGATAGTATTGGGAAGTCGAACAAGTAAAGTATCTCTGTCCTCTATATGAATGTCTACATACGCGTTTGGTTTAGAGTCATCTATGCGAACGAATGACATATAATATTCTGTAGATTATGATCTACTTATTAAAAGCGTTGAAGCAAGTGGTTGTCTAGATATCTAGCGTAAAAAGAGCTATTCAATCTATGTCAAATCTCCCTTATTAACTCTGGCTTCGCACCGTCTGGGCTAGAACAGATAGTATTTGGTTTGGTATACCACTTTATATATTAAATATTAAAATGACTAAATAAAAAAGGAAGGCCCCTCGAACTTGAGCCTAACCTCAATTTAGATCACCCTAATTTGATCCCTTTCGAATATCTATTAAACATAGAGCTAATATAACAGAAATGACAGAGGTCACTTATCACACTAAGAGTAGAAAACGAACAGAAGCTTATAATTAATTAAATAATTTAACAAGATTGCTCCAATGAACGCAGTAATACTGTGGTACCTTGCTTAGTTTTAATTCGGCCAAAAAGTAGTTCGTTTCTCGATCATTTTACGATAAGTAAGGTTAAAAACAGACAGTCAGCCAGTGAGCTTCGTCGCGTATCTAGCTGCCAGGTAGTGGTAACAAGGTTTATGATTTTACCGACTTTTTTCGTCGCAAAAACAGTAAGGGTTACAAAACAAGCCAGTTCAGTCTTAACCAGTCAACACCTTTGTTGTTACTTCGTGGGTTGCTTAGACGACGTCAGCTTAGTCAGAAACGACTGAATATAAGCTAGCTTCTGCTAAGATCTCTAGATGCAGTCATAGCAATAGATCAAAAGCATATGGATCATAAGGTAATTGGACCTTCATTGTGTCCAGTTAGAACGTGTTACAATCCGGACACCGAGATGTCGCTACGGAGAACATCTAGCATGATTAGTTATAGCACTCGTTGTAAGAAAACAACAAACGTTAGCGTTATATGCTCACTAAATCTCAATTCGAAGAAAAAGTTCGAAGAGGCTGAAAGAAAAGGTCAACTTTTAGTACCTAAAATAGGCAAACAAGCAGTATAACTAAAAATGATGACTACTTAGTAAATTTTATACCGTGACCAGGATGTGTAAAGTAGATGAATGATTGGTGAAGGCCAAATACATTTGCGATAGACGTCCGCAAACTCGGTAAAAAAAAGAATGCGATACCCAAGGGCAAAGAGCGCCGAAGACACTTGGCATGAAGAGCACCAGGTAAATATACGTTATTTCTACCTACTGCAGTACTAACTAGTACGCAGCTCATATAATCACTACCTTTAGATTGTAATTGCGGTGTTTTTTTCCCTGTTCAGCAAAACAATATGAGTACGTTATTGTTGACGAAGGCCCAGTGGCATTGGCTGGCCTGGCGACGTTCATAATCATTTGCTACGTACGCTCTAGCACCTGGACGTCATCATCTGCGATGTCATGCAGCAAATTGCATGGAAAAGGGTAATATGCACTATAAGAAAATCGATGCAGAAGATGAGCGTCACAATTCGAAGTGTTAGAAGCGTGTCGCTTGTTATTCGTAGTAAATTATTCTACGCAGCGAAACCTAAATTTTAAGTTAAGCGTTAACTTTGCTGATGAAGTTAGACAAACAAAACGAATTTGTTTCACTGTAAAATCGTGTGACTATAACAAATCTCTCTCATAATGCTAAAGGCAACGATTGTCTTGGTACCATCTTCTTCAATTCATTGGACTCATCGTTCTTTGATTTGGATCGTATCAGTTTAGCAAAGCTGTCCTCCCTTGTCGGTTACTGTGAACTTTCACCTTCTGCTCTTGCTTCGCGAAGCCGGTGAGGGCACTCGGTAAGGAGAACGATTCTGTAGGCGAGGGCGGCCTATAGTAGGTTTTTTCATGTGTAAGACTCACTCCGGTGACGTTAGACTGACTAGCGTCACACTGCCCAGATTACTCTGAGCACCGCTATAGATCTGCCCTTCTGTTACTATTGTGTTCAGCGTTGCTGGCAATTATGGCGACAGCAGTTTGTGTAGCGAAATGGCCGCTGAGACCACTTCGAGTGTTGACAGTTTGAACGTTCTTAACGGTCCGTTCCTCACGTAGGCAAGCATTGATAGCATAGAGCTTCTTGACAGTGTGTAGCAACCAGCTAAATCAGCAAGAATAAGACATCGGATTGAAAATTAGATTTGCGTAGGCGGCGCAGGAAGCACGGTGGTACAGGTCTCAGATGCGGCACGAAACTGCCTGCCTTACACACAGCAGTAGAGTTCGATAAACGGTACGTTCCAATGATTGAGGTCTACACACTGCTAGCGCTGTTCAACGGTTTCTAAAGTGCTGTGCTTTGATAATGAGCTGGCTGCATGTCGACAAAATGAGAGCGTCCTGAACTTAAAGAACGAACCATATGGCTATTCCAGCTAGACACTAGCTCTAAATGAATGAATAATGTCGATTCGAACCCCTTTTCTATAAACATCTATTACGAAAGCCCCATTACGTCTGCTTTGCCCGGAGCAATCCCCGCGCTCAGCGTCGTACAGAATCACGATGAAGATTCGTCTAGCGCAAGAATGGCGGCCCTGTCCACGCCAGAACTTCCAGCCGAGAGCGTCACTGCAAAAGATCTCGCGCTTCATCACCCGAACCGGTGAGATAACAGTCGTACATTAGCGATTGTCTAATACCATATTGTTGCCACGGAGCGATAGAATCGATAGCCATGAACGTATATCTCAACAATGAACTTCAATGTCTGTCCTTTGTGTCTAGCGTAAGCGTTGAAGTCGATCGAACCTTACCTGTGTGCATTACTCACTAAACGAAACCTAGATCCCACTTCATCCTGATCGCAGACTTCGTTAAAGTAGATCTAATAAATGTGGTGTCTGTGATACCACAGCTCGTTATGTGAAGATAACACAGTAATTTGATGATGAAATTCGTCGAGTGTGGGGCGACCAACGAATAATCGGGCAGCTTAAATTAGGTATCCGTTAGTGGTTCGTGCTATTCAATTGAATGTTAAAAAATGTATTTGTCTTCATTAGAGAGCGTTATTAAGGCATAACTAAATGCAACGTGTCTAACTATACGGCTCCAACCTGACTATGCCGTTCGTCGACAATCAGTGACCGTAAACGTTACGACCAGCGGGGTTTTCCTCTTCCGTTTGACGGAGGCCGTCGTTGGTTGGCAAGGTGCCGCTTCAGCAGGCCATTTGACGTTTAATGTCGGGAAAACACTCTGTAATAGACATATCGATAGTTTTATACGAGCAATTCATGAATAGTTAACCGAAACAGAAGCTGCTAAGTAAGGACGACGATTGCTACTCATCATATTCCAATTCCAGAAAAAAGAGAAGTGTGCCAGGGTGGGATGAAACGGCGAGCGAGTACACGATTGTTTCCTTTTGTACGTTTAGCGTAGGCCAGTACTGTCAACGTCGGTTGGACAACACATCTTAATTCTAGTCATCTATGTCTATGCTGTTCTATGTCAAATGTCGTTTCGGAAATTTACCCGAAGTTTTCTGAACCGTAAGAGCTAACGCTGTATAGGATAAGCATTACACAGAGTACGTTGTCTTCTTCGAAAATACTGATTCAAATGGCCGTCTCTGTCCTCTGGACGCATTGACCTCCGAATACTTAAATGAAACTAGTGCAAAATAAGCATCGCCTCGCTGACATAATTGGCCTAACTACATACAAATAGAATAATGGTGAAGACGAGAGGTATAGCAACCAATTCACTTGGCCTACAGGACCATCCTTTATTATTCAGTAAAATAGCACCGGCTTGGCCGAGTCTATAACAGCTGAAAAACTATCTAGCTATGTTATATTAATCTTTTCTTTGTAGGATAAATAAGGATAGATTGCGGCATTAGGAGACAATGTACTCACTAGTGTCTGTACGGAATACGTTTCTGATCGAAGTAACATCCCGTAAATGTGTATGTAGTAAACACAAACGTTTACCGGTCGATAACCATTTAATCAGCTCTTGTCTATGGGAGCATAGTTTATTGGAGTTATTCTCAGTAAATATTCTTTCACATACGGATTGGTATGTAAGATTATGTATCTATTACTGGTCTCTATTGAATGATATGCCATTGAAACAATTTTCCATTATTTACGATGGATTGCTTTATGGCACCTGTAAACGAGAAATAAACAAATATGTTAGCATCATTGTTTTTTTTTTCTCAAGGGACCGATACACCGGACCGAGATTTCTTTGTCAGTTGTCAAAGATCGTCCTATAACCCGAGCTAGAATGGCATCAGTCTAATGAAGGACAGAATTTTCCGTGGCACATACAGAGGCATCGTCTTCGTTCGGGATCCGGCAGTTCTAACTTGTAGCGATTAGCGTAACGTTGTTTTCAGTTAGTCGATTAGACATGTCCCTGAATAAAATCGATGGGATCGTTTTGCGCATCTCTGTTGCGGATAATCTCCCGGACAGGTGCGAGCATTCAAGTTTCGTCTAAACATACGGCAACAGGAAAACGATAGTGGAAAACTGAAATGCCCAGTGAAAACAAACGTAATGGTCTCCTTACGTTACCTATATCTAGTCTAGTCATAATTTTCTATACAATTTCCTACCAGCTACGAGTCAGATCGATCTTTTATTAAGCGATAAACGTATTGCCAGAACAAGTACTCGTCGTTAGTCTCAGATGACGGGACTACCAATCTAGTATTAGCCGATGACTATACTTCGATCTGAGTCAAATACGCATCCCGAATCTTCAAGATCATGACAACGAATGAGAGTTTTCCTCCCGGTTCTCTAAGCACACAGTCATTTACCAGCGAGCCAAACGTATGTTCAAAGTATTTTACTATTGTACTGCCACCTGTTACGCATTAAGGACGCTGTAGCTATCGATATTGCAGATAGCCTGATTGGAATATTCGCCTGTCAAGTGTTCGACTGACTCATTTGACAGAAGATTAAGCCTAGCAAGTACAAGATTGATCGACTATTATCTTCGTGGAAGCTTCACAATCTATCAGTTATCACCGGTTAGCGCCCCACTCCAGCTGGACCTTGCCTTAGCATTTGCAATCATTCAACTCGGTACGCTCAGCTAATTTGCCCTACCTGCGATAATACTAGCACTAGTTCATATTCCTTAGGTGGAATGTTTAAACACGTTCCGGGCATAGCTGCTGGCATTCTGGCGCCTACTACGATTTCTGCCTCGTGATCGTTTTGGCTGTAGGAGTAGATGAAGCCTGAGCGCTACGTCTATGATGCGATGGAAACTATCAGAGTCATTTCGATTCGAGTAACGAAGGCGAAGTTATCGATTTCCGCAGAAGGCCAGTTGTTTTTATGAGGTTCGAGAAAGACCCGCACGATTCTGACATGAACCGATAGTCGTTATAATAAGGCATTTGATATTCTTACAGAGCGCCCTTTTTGTATCATGGAAAAATAAAATATCCGCCAAATTACATATCGTACCAGCGAATGTTGCCACTTTCTGAGAATATCGCTTACCAGTTCCATATGGTCGGCTAAATGAAAATGGTCGAATGGGGACGTTTTGTTTGCCTAAACAAAATGGCCGACTCCGTATGTGTGTGTGTGTATAGTTGAATGTAGATGTGGCACTATTGAAGAACCAGTCATTGAGCACAGATCATACCAACACTAATGCCTATCAGCCGTTAATTATATGAGCTAGCTAATGATGGAACTCGACGGTTCACAATCGCATTGGCATGAACGGACCATACCGGATGTTACGGAAAGCAAAATTTCAATAGAATAAATGTTTACCTCGTAGATTTTGTCGATTGTTTGTGTTTTTTTTTTTTGTCGCTAATTATTGAAACAACGAAGACGTGCTAGGCCTATAGAATACAAACGCAGGCCGATATTATCTAGCGGCTAAGAATTAAATTTTGCGCTATAGACTGAAACATGATCGGTAAAATTACGCAGACGTACGGCCAGTAAGTAGCCCCAGTGGCATTACACGTTCGAATGATAGGACCGAAAATTTGGCCGTATTGTATTTCGTGTGAAAGTTTCAAAGGTAACTTTGTAGGGACATTTTCCGGTACGATGAAGGGATGTCGATTATCGGAACACGAGATACCACAAGGTAGTGACAAGCTTGATAATTAGCAAGGTGTGGCTACGTTGGATGAGTTCGCGGCATGTAACTTGTATTTCTATAGACGTGAGAAGCACGGGTAGGTCGCTGATAGCAGAGTCAGACGATTTCAGTAGTTTCAATTGTCTGATCTACGATTGTCGATAGACGGCAAGCTACACCGGTTATCCGGCCCGACGGCAGAACTGCGTAGGCATTTTTATTTCCGTGTAAATTCTCGCTAGTTTAACGGTACTCGTTCATATCGAAACAGTAAAACGTGACTTTTCCTATTGTACAACACTATCCAATTAAACAAATTTTATGCAATATCACACAATGTTGAAATATATGCAACATATTACCTTAAAAAGGGCCAAACTAAACGCGTGAGAAGTCTGTAAATTGAAAACAAGCTGGCAAGTACCACCAATTTATTATCAAGGCTGTCGAGAGGGCCACACTATAGATCTGGCAACGTGAATAATTTTGGCTCAGCTTGGCATACCAGCCAAACTGTATGGGTTCCTAAATAACATGTTTATTTTTGCAGTTACATTTGCAGTTACAGTTGTTGACGTCTCGATGTAATCTGGTACGTATTTCCTACATATAGGTAACAAACTTGCGACGTATAGTTGATGTAGGATCTTCTAAAAAAAAAAAGAGGGTATCGGCGCACGGCCCATTAACATCACGTATCCCGTTATCCAACCAGGTCGCTGATCTTTCAGATGGATGTCCTTCATTTTTCGACCTATAGATGCTCTTTTGGAGATAATCCTATCGGTCATGGACAGCCTGGACTGCGTGGGTGAGATGATCGCTGGACAATTAGATCCTCACGGTCGGACACTTTTTTCATTTTTTGTACTACGTGAGATCATTTACAGTTAACTGTTTTCATGTAAATATGTTGTTGCACGAACAATTATGCGACACATACGATTATTCATACGCTATTCTATAATTTTGAGCCATAAGGCCCATATTAATGAGCAACATCTAACCTTGCAAGTGAGTTGGCTAATAAACAAGCCCGTTAAAAAGGTAATGTAGCCTCAGCCTTAAGCATTGGGAACATTGTATATTGATCTCGTTTTCCAAACGTCTAAGATATTCCAGAATTATGTTTATTCAGTTGAACATATGCCGCAGTAGTTTTCCCGCCGAAAGACTCAGCTGCGGCGTATCTTTGTCCAAACTTGTTGCGGCCGAAAGCAGTAACAGGCCATGTTTGTCAACAGATTCGAATTGGTACCACTGACTACCTTTTTAGCTCCGAGATCACAGTAGACTTTCAAACGATAGTACTCTGGCCTAGGCGCAATTTAAAATTTCAGCAAGTTCTGCGTCTTCAACACGTTTGATTTATACGATCTATGAGAAGTGACGGGGAAAGGTTAAGTAAGTTTTGCGGATCCGATCAATATAGGGGTTCTAGCACACCACGTTGTCTACTTTGGTTCAACTTTTGAAGTAAACCTTTCATCGGCTTATTTTGGAAAGCTTTAGTAGTGCGCTTAGAAACCTCTCTGAAGTTTATCGTGACATGCAAAAAGAATCTGACCGTGTAGATTCATTACGTTATCGTATCGTTGAGCATTTGATTTATTTGTTGATTTATAGAGATTTATTGAAGACTGATAGGTTTTGTTGGGGTGTCTAACGAGATGGGTGAGTAAACCGATCCGTTCCTTTCTACGATTGGATTTCAGAGGAGGAGGAGACTGCCAACGACCCAATGGGTGGCAGCAGTACCCAGAACGGCGCCCCTGGGACAGGCGCGCCCAGTGCAGCGAAACCTCGCGTGATTCTTGACGGGTGTTATTATCGGTATCCGAACACAACGAGCCTCCGGTATCAACTACAGCTCTACGAGAACGAGTTCGTCTTTCAAGCAAAAGGTTCGATTTCAAAGTTTTTTTTTTTTTCGAATCATCGTAAAGTACGTGCATTGTATTTTAATCGCTGGATTCGATGGAGACATACCAAACCGACGACTTTGTAAGAATTTGGCAAGGTCAAACTTATCATTTGCTCTGCTATATATTTGATTCATAGCATTAAACCTAGTTATAGCCGATTCTAGATTTGACCAAGCAAACCTTTCTACAGTCCACCGGCCTTCAGTTGGAGCTCTCGCGGACCTAAGAGGGCGAAAGTTATTTTATAGGTTTCCGAAATAAGTTCCGAGAAATTGCGGAACCAGTACGTAAAATCTTGTGGAAGTCACATAATGCAGCTTACTGGAGAAAAATCACGCTTGAAAAGCAAACGACTTGGGTGTAAAGAATTGTACAAAACTGAATGGTTCTAAATGTTCTTAAATAGACGAAACGGAACATTTGATTCGCGTGCTTACACAAGTTAGCACAAGGTGCGATGCACAAGTTACAAAAGGCGCTTAACTTCGCTGTCTATACAACAACACCACTTCGGCCTAGGGTGTTTGGTTAACATCACGACGAAAGCACGAAAAGCGATTGTTACGCCAATTTTAGGACTTCAGTACGTCGAAGCAAGTCAGTCGATCAGGCCAAATCAGACCATTCTTTATGCTATAAACATCTGAAACATTTTACAGCAGACATTTTATCGCCATCTATAAGCAGCTTTGATGATCGCAAGAAGTCCTGAGTATAAAAATGACAAAAAAAAATACAGAAATACGTACTATGCCGTGAAATTTCCTAGAAAATCATTAGGCCCATCTCAGCGATAGTAGTAAATGTCATACAATACAACTCTACGCGCTAATCTAAAAAAGCGCAACAGATAAATATTGAACTTTAATAAGCTGGTAAGTAGATGCGCCATCGAGGCTTTTAAATAAATCTTAACCACCACTCTCCGCTGTCCCAGATATATAAATAAAGCAATATTTTGACGAAAAAATGAGTCGCTTGTATGTTCACGCTACTGAGGATCGCTTCTAACCTCTGTCCACTCTAACGAAAATACAATGAGATTGCTGCTTCACGCAGGTGAAGTTTCATAACAGTCTGATCCAAGCTTGGGTTTTACGGTGAGATCAAGTGGATGCATTGGGCATTCTGCGATTGTGCCCAGGTGGGGCAACGAGTGTACGTAGTTTTTCGTGTAAAAAAATGAAAACCAATCGTGGATGTTGCACAACGTCCACGGATCAAACACTAAGTGAAAGTCAAGTGAGTAGATAGAAGACGTACTCGAATCATTCAAAGACGATCGTCATCCTCAAGACGAGGGACGGTGATAACGAAGGAAAACATAGTGCTCTTTGTGGTTTCTGTCGGCCGTCGGAGAACTCGCCACCCGCTTGCACCGTCAGTTAGCAAGCCAATTAAGAAGTCGCGAATATGTTCGACGCAAGAGACCAGAACCGTTGCGCAAGAAGTCCCGGGTTGTCCCTCAGTGAGGTGTGAACTCGTATGCGTAATGAAAACTATGTATGCGTTACCTAAACCCGTTGTGCTCGTCGGACCTAGTCGTCAGCGACCTCTTCCTATTCCTAGAATGAAATGAAGGTCTGTAGGGGGAGAGTTTTGACGAAGAGTCAAAATATCAAAATTAAAGATATGATAGGAAAGTCGCTGATCGAGCTGCTTTGACGATCCAATTTGGAAAAGTTTTGAAAAAAGGCGGTGACAAGGGCATTTGCATATCGGCAGAGATTTCTTCGACGAGGATAACTTGAATAAAAACCATTAAATAAAAACTTTCAATCTGTAACCGTATTAAATTTTGGTTGCGAAAATCGAATACGATCCAATTGCGAGAATGTCACTGAGCACCTAAAAGCTCTAAAACCAGACACAGAACTAAAGTACACAGACGGCGTGAATAATAACTTGAATCTTGCCTCTGCGCCACTGTAGGGAAGACGACAAGAATAAAAATGGAAGATGTCATTGGCTGTCACGTAATGCGGCTGAGCACGGCATCTTGTTCCGCGAATGAGCATTCCGCGTTCTTCTGCATCTACGCTTACCATTTAGCTTCAGGCAAAGGACTAAAGGGCGCCAGTGGCCTGACACGACAAAGACACACGTAAGTATTAGATGGCATGTCCATAGAAAAAGTCGCGCTTTAAAGGTTTGCTCCTTTCTCTGCCTAGATCGCGTTCGTCACCAGTATATTTGCCATTATGGTATAGAACAACGTCGTATAACTGTCAGACTCCTAGCATCAACAAATGCAAAAATAATTGATTCCACAGTTGGCAAAATATTTTCTTCAAGAGTAGAAATTGAGATCGCTAAAATAGAGCCTAAACAAATAAAGGCCTTCCAAAATTAAGGATATAAATATGTTTACATCGTATAGGTTTTTTATTCTGCTAGTAGTTGTTTGTCCTCTTGTGGATGGCATTTGTCCTTACTTGATGATTATTTCCAATTTTTATTTTGTACATTTGTTCTCTTTATCTTAAACACACGTATACAGGTATGTGTTTGAGGTGGACGTGTGTGCCACATACGAGAATAATCTTCGTGCTGCCAGGAAATGGCAGAGTGCCTGTTTGTGGATTCTTCGAGGATACCGTTTCGAAACGAATCAAGGTAAGTTGTTATCAATGTTCGAGTTTAGCGTGCTCAAGCTTTTTTTTTTTTTTTTCTTATCTTCCCTGTGACTTGTCGAGAGTTGTTGAGACGATACAGTTTGGTCAGTCACGCTATCAAACGTGCAGTTTACGCGACAGATAGCTTCTTACTTTACCTTGCCATAAGATTGTAACTAGTACATCGGAAATTGCGTATGCCACTTACCTGCCAAAGACGATTTCATTACGATTATGTTTCTACACACCCATTGACTTTTCTTAACTTGGTCGTTTCTCTCAGATGTGTTTTTCTGCATATTAGATATTGGTCCAAAAGCGTAGATGTAGATCCATTTCTCTTCGATCATTGTTACTAGTCATGTAACCAGCATCATTGTTGCAACACGCATTTCGTCTCTATGGACGATCCGCCGGTAGTCGCGTCTAGGGTTTTCGTCGTCGTCGTCGTCGTCGTCGTCGTCGTCGTCGTCGTCGTCGTCGTCGTCGTCGTCGTCGTCGTTGTTGTTGTTGTTGTTGTTGTTGTTGTTGTTAGGACAGCTATTCCTGTGTATACTTTTAGCTACGGCTATCCGCACCATTTAGCCTAAATCGGCCGACAGCGGCAGCATTAGCACGTAGATTGCTGCTGTAACCGTTATTCGTAGTCGTCGTTGTCGAAGTATGGATAGCGCGTTATGAGTACATTGACGCGATGCGCGATTTGGGCAAAAGGTAAACAAACTGGAAGCAACCGGCTGCCACATATCGATCGACCTATAGAAAAACACAGATATGAATACGACGCCATCGCCGCGCGAGCAGACCGCCGCCCTACTACCAGCGCCATCCTACAAGCGGTCACATACGCTAACAATATGATTTAGACGCATGTGCTGGCATGTGGAAGTATTTCGAAAGTATCAATCTGTCGATTTCATTTAATAACGCTACCAACAATAGAAAGTCAGGGAGAGGGGGGCAGTGAGCTTGAATGAATACAACAGCAACGAACGGGAGACTGGTTTGTATATTTAGGTTTTGAAACGTAAATTTCATTCGTGATCGCTCGGCAGAGCAGAGGCGGCATGAAAAGTAAAGGGCAAAAGAAGACTGACGAAGTAATAGCCGCTCTAAGTAGATCTGAATGGATTTATAGATGTAAGTTGAATTTGCAAAGCTGCTGCTTGCTAATTAGTTTTTTTTGCATCTGCTAATGTCTAACGGTCCAGTTAAATATTGTCTATCGTTTGATAGTGCGTCCTGAAATAGCAAATACTGAGTTTTATAACGCTACGTTCGTTCTTATTGAATCCGATCGGTGTTGTATTTTACTATGCGGCATGTGGTAACCCAATGGTGAGTTGGGAGGGGGAAAAAAGGGACTTAACCAATAACCAGATAACCTTTGCAAGCTTGACGAAGAGGCAGCGGAATACCGCTTACCGTTTTGCGCTTTGACTCTTTATAGATACTGGAGACATTATTGTTCCCGAGTCATTACCCGCACAGCGGCGCTATCTCTGTCTCGTTAATCCAAAATCAGGACCAGGTCGTAGTCTCGAGATCTTTCTAGACCGTGTGCGACCCGTTCTTTCCGAAGCTGACATCTCTTACCTGATGCTCGTTACCGGTACGTGAACTTCATCTCTATTTGCTTCACCAAATGTGTACACTATTCGAAATATGGACAGCCGTATCGTGATAGTGATTAGGACTGATCAAACGACTACGCAACGTCCACTAAAAAACTTGAATCAGAGCGTTTATGATTCGATCTAGTTTTGTGGAATAGCTAGCACTACTACGAGCCTACCCCTGTGCATTTATCGGTTATTATTATTATTATTAACGCTATGTAATCTTCAGAGCGGTTCAACCACGCTCGTGAGTTCGTACGAAACCTGGAACTGAATCAGTGGAGCGGAATTATTATCGTATCAGGAGATGGACTCTTACATGAAGTGTACAACGGTCTCATGGAACGACCTGATGCTGACCAGGCCATCAGAATACCAGTTGGAATTATACCCGGAGGCTCCGGAAATGGTCTAGCCAGGTCTATCTGCCACGCTTCTGGGTATGCTGTTTACTCAACGTGCGCTAGCAAATATAATGTATGGATAAGAAATACTGCCTAATAAATATTTAATAACTAAAATAAAGCAAATATAGCTTTTTTGTGTGTTCTGTTTATCTGTTATAAACAGAGTAGATAAAGTAGGCTATTATGTAATAGCTTACGTTATTTATACAGGTTGTGTATCGTAAACAAGCCGGTCTAATACCTGAACGCGATGCGTAAACATGTAACGATACTGCCTGTTGCATTTAACATTACATTAAGTACTTGTGTAAACCAGTGTTTCATTATTGCTTAAATCGGCTGTATTTCAATGTCTTTTACTAACACTCTTTATTCTAATTTAAATCTATCGACCGCTTTTTCGTTGTTACATTGTTATGTCAGCGTTCTTGAGTAGTCTGTCGCGTCTATGATTTAGGGTGACTTGAAGCCCACAGTACAGCCCGCAGCCTGCACTAAGAGTAGGGTACTGTCCTATTTACCTTATTAGAGAGCCTCAGCAACTCCAGACTCAACGAGATCGTCCTAGATATTGCCTGAATTAGGAAAAAAAGCAAATTTGAAGAAGAACGGTCCTAACGGCTCCGTTGGTCATACCTGATCGTGGATCGGAGCTATGATTATATATAGCCTTGTAGATACTTAGGCATTAGGAAATAACCGTGGCATTTGATTTGCTAATCACTTCCTTGTAATAAGTGTGACAGATCTTTTTCACTCGTGCTTACCGACAACCGATGAAAATAGCGCCGCGTTTAACCTTTGGCACGCCGTTTCTTTTCCAGGGAACCATACCTCTCCGACCCAGTCCTTGCCTGTACGCTGAGTTGCGTAAAGGGACGTGTACAACCATTGGACCTGTGCAAGATTGATATGCCTAAGAAGGAGCCAATCTATTCGTTCCTTTCGTATGGCTGGGGTATCATGAGCGACATCGACATCGAATCTGAGAAGCTTCGCTCTTTTGGGGAGATTCGTTTTACACTTTGGGCATTATGGCGGATTTTTAGTAAGAGTTGTTTCATTGCAAATTAACTAGTTGGTCATGTTTTATGTGAAATCATTACAATTTGTAGCATAGAAAGTTTGTTACTCACCGGATAACATAGAGGGCTAATAACGTGACACACACTTTACCACTAGGTCTTCGAACGTACTCGGGGAGGGTTTCCTATCTTCCCGCCACGGAGCAACGACTCCGACACGTGCCAGTGATCAAGAAGAGTTCGGTCCCTGCTGGAGAGGTTCCAAATAGTGAGACGATACAACCCGAACAAAAATGTATCATAGACGAAGAACCAATTAGTGATGAGCCATTAGCGTCGCCATCTTTGACCAGCCCTACGTTGAATAGCAAACAAACGAAATTAGCTGGAGCTGGATTTCGTAGTTTTGCGTCGGGAATTCCAAACGATAACTTTGTCGATACGGAGCAGGTTAACGAGTCCAGGTGGGTCTGAGATAAATAGTAAAGTAGCAACCCGTTGCGTGTATTCGAAGAAAGCTCCTTTTTGCTAAAAATAGCCAATACTCATTTTTTATCGATTTTAATCGAGGAACTAAATTTTCTTGTATTTGGCTGTCGTTGCCGGTTTTTAACTGCATCGTGTTTATCTGCTCCAACCTGAGTAAACACTGAAAGTAGTTTATGTTAGTAGAAGAACCGTGGCTGTCTGCAGACACTCAAAGCAAGCGCATCGATGCACCATCCCCCGTCTGGTAAATAATGTCAAAGACAATCAATTTAGAAGGATGGGCAACGTCATTTTTCTGCCTCAACCTGGGTGGGGCACTCGGGGTGCGCTGTCTCGACAGCCCTTTCAGAATCAATCTCAACGTGAATAACAAGTTCTAACGAGGCGTGAATATGCGTAGCTGATAACTTTATTGTGTTCGGAATTAATTTTTTCAGAAAAATTCAAGATACAAATAATTAACAGATGCAATTTAGTAGTTTCTATTAGCACAAGCTTATTGAGTAACGTCAGTCAACAGTTACTGATCTCTCGCTCGCTCGCTCTCTCCCTCTCTCTCTCAGAGATGAGAGCACTGGCTGAGATTGGCGAAAATACGTTGTTATTGAGAAATTGAGTTATGCAACAGCATAGAAGAAGCCACTATGTCCTTTTTCACTGTACGGCCTATTCTAGAAATTTATTAATACGAAAAACATTTTTAAAGAGCATTACCGGTCTATAGCGTAGTAATCAATAGCATACGGTATAGCTAGTTGGCGACAAGGCTTTGTCGGCCTTGTAGTCACTTAGACACATGGCCTGAATCAGTAAAAACGAAATCGAACAGTGACATTAGCTTTTTTCAGATTTAAGTCCATTGTTAATTATTTCCATGCCTTAAAGAGGACGATAGATGGCGTCGCTTATCCTAAGATTATCTATTGATAACGAGATCAGGCGTGATTAGATTACATGTTGAGAAGCTTGTTGGCTTAATATATAAATTCTTAAGAGAAGTATGCCAAAATATTGTTCCGCCATACTGACTTTAAGCTTTGTTCTTATTTATCTTAGAAATCATAGAAGTGGGGCCAGGACGACGCAATCAATGGGAATTGATAATAATCCTTTTGAGATTACAAATAGATAGTTTACGTGTATGATCTGGTCTATTTAAGCTAACATAGTTAAAATATTGAAAAAAAGATGGGATTGTTCTATACATATTATGAAAGTTAGTGTCGCAGAACTTCTGGGAAGGATTGAGCATTGTTTGAAATTTGACAACATTTACAACGATTATTATTGCCGTTATATTCTGACCATTGAAAGCTTATAAAATAACGTTTTCATTTCAGAGTACTTCGATCTCGAAGTGTTTTTGAGAACATCAGTAAGGAAGTTACGGGAAACGGACCACTGAAGCGGGTCGAAGACGACGGAATTGGTGAGATACAAATCTAACCACTTCTCTGTTAACGATTCGATCAACAGCAAACAAGCATTCATGCAGGGACTTCACTTTTTTTTTTTCTTTTTATAGGCTAATAATAGGCATTCTTCTCAAATTTCCCATTTAAATTCCTAAATATTATATTAACAAACAGAGCCTATCGTTCTTAGACAGATGAAATTTGTTTCTTCGCCTGATTTTAGATCGCTGCAAAAATTTGGTAGAGCACGTAACGGTATCTGAGTTACGGCATGCGCCACCGCCAAAAAATCGAATCTTCAAGGGCAAAGGCTCCAAGGCTGAAGACGACGATAAGGACAGCATCGATCAAAGTGTGGCAGCAGATGTCAATGGAAATGCTCCTAGTAGGGACACGGAGCAAGCGGAAAACAGCGAGCCGCAAGACACTTTTCCCGGTGTCGATGATCCTCTGCCCCCTTCGTGGCAGGTTGAGGAAGGGCGCTTCGTCATCATCTACAGTTCGCTTGTCAGTCATCTCGGCACCAAACTGTTCTTTGCGCCGCAGGCCCGACTTGACGACGGTGTCTGCTGGCTGATGATGATCAAGGGGGAAGCATCACGACGACAGATTGCCTCATTCTTTATCAATCAAGAAGTGGGCAGACATGTTGACCTACCCTGGGTGCGGCTTCTGCCCGTCAGAGCATTTCGAGTTGAAAGCTTCGACGATAGCATTATGACAATCGATGGCGAAGTGGTCGATACAAACTCAGTACAAGTACGTGTTTTACCGAAAAAAGCTCGCATACTTAGTTTTTAAGTTGAACTTAGAAGAGAATATCGAAGCAAAGATCCGGGCCGAGTGTGTCGCCGCACTAGATAAATCAAGCCAGTGATAAATGTGCACAAAAGGGGCAAATTTGTTGCGAATAAACAAGTCGAGTAAAAATATTTATAAAGTTCTCATGGATATTCTAGGACTCGATGGGCAAGCCGCAGCTAACACACCGATACAATTTTGTATAATAGATGACGGTTAGCGATCGTGCACTTACCACGCGTAAGTAACGGAACAGTCGAGTGTTCGCGGATATAGATGCGGAAATTGTATTTCTATATGATCATTTTATAGAACAATGCTAATGCTGAAGCGCATGAAGACGTGCTACAAGTAAGTTGTGTGTAGAAATAGGCACTAGTATGCCCATATAATCTGATAGGAGTAAAATTCAGTGAAGCCGACAAAGTACAATGTGAGAAGCTAGTGCGGCGGCGACATAAATCTCGCATTTTACTTTGTCTTGCTACTATAATTATCTGCTGAATTTAAGCACAGTGCTATAGCGGCTAAACGTAAAAGCTATTGAGTATGGTTAAGTCCACTGGCCATCTTGGTATCACGCAAAAAAAGGGGGAATGGGATAAAATGTAAGGTTGCGACGTGACGTTTTTGTTATATTGAGTTGTGTCAAGGAAAAAAAAGTTTCTCTGACACCTCATGACTTAACACATGAATAAAACCAACAATAGCAAAGGCCAGCACGGGGCTCGATTGCCTCAGTCTTCTGTGATGTTCGCTGTCTTCAGAATCACTCAAGTAGCCTTATGTTGAAAGCCTCACAATGTGTTTCTGTATCGCTGACGAAATAAGTAATCTGTAACGCTAGCTTTGTCGTACTAAATCGCTTATAAGTAAACCGCTAAGAAGGCAGACCAATTGCAGAATGGCTACGGTAAAGGGACCCAAAATATGCTCATATCTGAAGGATGTAAAAACAGAAATCACTTTTTCTAATAACGTAAGTTGGGCTAACTCTTTTTAAAAACATCACCTCCCTATTTACTTTAGCTAGCTGTTGTATACAGCGAAAGTGGGTCGATATTTGACTGCATTGAATGTCTATGAGGCGGTGCCTGGAAGGAGACAAGTGCCTTAGAGGAGTGCCGGCAACGAAGGAAATTCATGGAGCAACGCAGTCAGATCATGGTAACCAGGTGTTCCGTTTACTTTTCTAAACGGTGCTCAGGTGGTAGCCAAGAGGAGGGAAAGTTTTACAGCATAAATGTAAAAAGTAAAGGAAAAATAAGAGGCAAACGTTACAGAGTGCATCGCTGTTGTATTGCATTGCTAACGAACGAATCTTCGTTTCATAAATGTTTATAGTGTCTTCGCACAGTTATTGGGAGTAAGTTTTCTAATTTAGAATGATAATATTCGTTGTATGTTGGGGCCAACGACTATATCTAGGAATCAAATGAGCCGCAAGCCGTTGCGTTTATAATAAGAACATTGCTTCTCAACGCAATTTTCGTCCCAAACCGACGGCATAAACAGTAGCTTGTTTCTATTAAACAAAGTCTTTACAGTTGATTGCCAGTAGTAAAATTGCTATTATATATTTCATTAATGAGTATACCCCGTGGCCTTTTGCTAGTTACCTCTAATGTCACCTAGCGATACGCGTAACACAGCAACTTCGAGCTTATGCTGAATCCTTTTGTAAATATACAATAGATTTATGTGCACAGGTAATAAAATGTTGTGTGTTTATTTAGAGAGATAAAGAAAATATCATAATCCAGCTTGTTGTGAGCGGTATTCCTGCTAAACTTACATTTCGCATGAAGTTAACTAAGGGCTAAATGAGAAATAAGCTAGGGTTCGGCTAGAAACGAAAAGCCGATTTTAGAGTCTCGCACTTGACAACAGTCACACACACAACACGAATCACATTTTTTTTGTGGATCAAAGCTTTTTTTTGTGTGAAGTTGATCAAAACACGCCATTGACGCGATTGGTCGAGAAGGTCGAAGAGCCTGACCCATTCACAAAAGAAGTTGGGACAGGGACGCCACAGGCGGAAACGAGCGGGTTACAACGACACTGCAAAGGTGTGTACGCCGATTTAACTATCATCTCGGCTCGATGTCGTGTTCAACAACCTGGGTCTAGCGACGAGAAGGTTGCAATTAATTTCCACCTAAATCACGAGCCTGCGCAATTCATGGATAGGCTGTTTCAGGTCGCGGATTATGTTTAGCCTACGTGATCCCTGGGAAAACATTTGATTGAGACAATCTACTGTTTGTAGCTCAAACTAAGACCACTAGGCTAGGCTAACAGAACATTCCGAGTCGATACAAAGATTAGTTCTTTTCAAATAGAATAGAAATAAAATTCTGCGTTACTGTTCTAGCCTGCCGTTGGTCAACGATCAATAATAATTAATAAATAAAAAAAAAAAAGGTTGTAATTATGATATGGTCTATTCCTTGCCAAGTCGCTAAGACGTTTCGAATCACGAGGTGGTTAAATTAGAAGTGAATTCTTGAAAAAGATGGCTGTTGATCCCGCGATGTATGTTTGTCCCATCTAGATATTGCTTAAGAACACAACGTTTATTTGTTATGGGTCGAAATCGGACCGATACGACGCGAATACAGTACAACGATGGCAATTACCGATTTCGCTTGACCAGCTGGCATCTATCAGATAGCGTGTAGCGTGATGAAACAATTCACTTTGCCAATATTGTCGGAGTTGTCAAAACCTGGTTTTGGCTACGGCGGCGAAAATGTTCTAGCAATGTGATGCCTTCGAGTGCTTGGCCTTATCAGCCTAATGCTTCCCATACCTACCATGTCAGAGAGGCAGTCTATTTTCTCACTGATCCTAATTATTGTCGCTCTATTTATATCGGCATACAAGTATAGTTGGACCTAGATTCATGACCTCTCATATGTAGTGTGCTGTGTATCTAATAGAACCAAACGCCCAGACACACCATACTCGCGGTTGGGTGAGTAAAAAGCTGGCAAAAAAGGTTGAACGAGATAACAACGTACTGGGTGCTTCCTTCGCGAAACCGGTGCTATGTAACATAAAGGCTCCGAAAAAGAACGTACTCGTGCGTTTCTATTATAGATGTGCGATTTTTGCATAGGTGAACGTCATACTGTGATACGTCTTCAGCGGCTAGTAAATAGCAAATCCGTTTATATTAACTCACGTCGTCACATATGGACGAAAGACGGGACAAATAAAATTTTTAAAAGTAGCATCCATGCTGTAGGACGACCAGAAATGAACGCTATCCGGGAATCTAGGAGATGTCTGTACTTCTCACGTCTAGGTAATCTCTGGCGCAAACCGGTAGTGATTACCCATTGGATGGCTGGGATCCTCTGTGCCGACGCCAACTTCGATATAGAACGTGTTAAACTAATCAGTTATCAGGAACAAGTACAAAGATACATATAAATGCCAAAGGGTATAAGGCCTTTGATGTAGAAGAACTCAGAATTATCACTCTTCTCCCACGTATATTCTTTCTCATACATCTTCAAAACTCGTCATTTCAGCTATGTGATTTTAATTATAAGCATACGTAGCTCGACGAGATTTATTGTCGAGACAATCGGATACCTCACTACGTAGACGCGAAAATTATCTAATTTTATTACTACCAACCTAATTACTACCAACCTCAGGCTAGAGTAGCATTCGCCCCTTTTTGTGCCTTTCGAAAGCTTGAAAAATCATGTCCAGCCGTAGAATGAGAACGACTCCATATTGCTTTGAAAAGCATATACACATATGTAGATATTTACTATGGTCCTCCGGTGGTGTTCCCGTGGGGTCCCGTAAAATCCTAGCAGAGACCCATTTTCGATATAAATGACCTCCTTTATCATACCTCGCGATTTGTATCCGCGGTAATCCAATATATAGGGAGTATAATCTGAGGGTCAGCCTTAAATTAAATTAAAGCGAACGAAAACGTCTCACTGATAATGGCTATTGAGTAAGCTACAATTTGTTACTCAATAATTTTAACAATTTAATAACAAATAACAATTTGTCACTTCTTCTATTGATTCGCACTGGATTTAAAATGTAAAAGGACTAGGTTCCACCTGTATTTTACATAATGAAAGGAATCTTTAACTTTTGTTTCCAAATGTAAGTTTAATTCTTCAAGTATACTAGTAAGTTCTACCTGCACAAAACTGCCTGGTTTCGTAAACAATATTTGAAGATCTAGGACTTACAGTGGAGGTAAGCTATATATGTTAACCTTAGAACAGCTTCAAAATTTATTTCCAAGCATTGTTTGCATATTCATGCGTCAGTTAAGGTGTGGCACTGGCTTTATACATCCAGGGCTGCCTGGTAAACATCTCTGATCGTCAGACCACTCTGTCTGACTGTCGTTTCTTTATAATATTATTATTATATTACCCGTGAGTAAAGTTTATGAAGCCAAATGTGTTTGGTTTCATGACGTAACATAAAAAGAGTTTTTTTTTTTTGGTTCTTTTAAGGCTACTCTATTACTAAAAACTTTGTTTTGATAGTTTACATTATAAATTTGAGTGTTTCAAATTATAAGCTTTTAGACGAATCAACTGATTTTGCCCCGCCGGAGTGGCCGGTCTTTCCATATCATAATCATAAAGCTTTTAATCGTAAAGCTATGGTTGTTTCGTTCTGGATAGACAAAGGTGCGGGGAAAGCAGGCTTAATGTTGAATTATGTAGTCCCTAGTGAGTGAAAACAAACAATGTTGAAACTAGGTTAACTCTCGATAGCGTAACGTGTATCAATTTGCCCCGTGTCTTCGGCTATGCTACTAATAGAAGCGCAATCGTCGGTGAGAGACTTCATTGTGAGCTGTATAACAGCTCATGAATGCTGGTAAATCATGGAATCAGCGAATATCTGTGACAGATGGGGGTTGCACGGCTTGTTTGCTACGCTACGACGGCGGTTTACTACTAACACTCGGTTTTTAATCCGAAATATTCGAGGGTACTCATCATATTATCGACTATATATGGAAACAATTATACTTGCATGTATGCACTATACGTACGAGTAATTTTCATTTGCAGAGTAAAAAGTTGTCGGTCAATTTGATCATTTTTTTTTTACTGCTTCATATTAGCGCTTAATTAGCAATTCTTCTACGGATACAGTAAGTGATTTAACATTGAGATGACATTTGGTCTTGGAGGTAATGTACTCGAATGAAAAGTTCAGCTTGTAAAAATGTTCATTAATGTTTATTAATGCTTTCGACCCTCGGACATGACTTTTTCCAATTTTTTTTTTTAATTAAAAGCCCAATTTGTTTAGTGGGCCTAACTGTGAATTAGGTTGTTGGACGAACGTTACTTATCTATACAGGAATAGATTGTACTTCGGCCTATGTTATATGTCATGTTGAAATACGCTTCGTATAGCCCTTCAGCTTTTGCATTGCAAACTAATCCACCGCGATATGGATCTAAACATACAGTAATGATTATGATAATCAATTAACAATGAAGATAATTATTTACGTATATATGACCGAAGAAAAACGTTGTTCATTGCTCCTTATTAACTTGACTTAGTGTTGCAATAATATCTATACGGATAGCTATAGATGATATGTAACGCTCATTGTCAGCAGGACGGACACAGATTCTACATAAATATACTATAATATGTGCTATTAGTGGTAAAAATTGGCATAGTCATTCTTGCGCGATCTTCGTAGAAATGTTAGTGATAATACGTGGGTGACACATTCGGTCGCCACCTCGGGCAGGGAACTCAACAGTACCACATTGAACAGGTGATAGACAGCTGTTTTCACACGTTTCGAAGAATGCTAGTAAATTCATTAAACAGTAACTTCGTCAACATTAAACGAACATCGGCTAGAGCGGCTTGTTATGATGGGCCACTTGGCACCAATTTCACGCATTGGCGTTCCTTGAAGTAAATGCAAGAAGGCCTCAGTGTCCAAGCATTGGCATCATCGGTGCCGGCGGTGGAAGGCCTTCCGGAGGCTGCGGCTGGTGAGCCTGTTGACTTTGCAAGTGTCGGATGAGCTCTTCAGCAGTGTCAAAAATGAGAACAACAAACGGACTCCCAGGCACATGTTCGCCAGACCAGCGAACCTCGATTCGATAATCACCAGGCTCGGTCGGATCGTACTTACACAGGATGGTACGATCTCGGTGACTCTCACGGGCCATTTCGACACGGAACGCGCCTTTAGGTCCTCTGATTCGAACTGTAAGCTGTCCAGCGCCAGCTCCTCGGGTATCGCAAACAAAGCGACTTTGATATCTTGCGAGCACCCCTGCTTCGATACCGGGGCCATAGACACGAACCCGTGATGCATCGGGAGCCCCACAAATTTTCATCGTGTATGGTGAGCCTAAATGAACCGAAAAATTACATCCAAACGCGCAGATGTCAATCACAGCACGAGTAGATATGTTTCCACCGTACCTGCCTCTAGCGGTATTTCGTATTGAAGGTACTTGAAACATTTCCGCTGCTTGCACCATTAACAGATACGCTATCTCTATCTAATTAATAATAATAATAATAATACTGCTCGCTCTATAGTAGAAACTGCGATCCCCGATATGTTATACCTGGTACATGGTCTCCTCCGTATTTGACATTGAGAAGATGTTTGCCGCCCTCCTGTGGCTTAACGAATAGAGTGAACGTTCCGTCTCTGTGGTCGTATAGCTCACAATGCGCCATCTTAGTGGGACCCGTGCAATGAGTTGTCAGCTCGCCCGGACCACCTGCATATAATAGGATATAGATGTCACCAGAACTGATTTTACAAATTGGGTTTGGCAGATAGAGTATTTCTTTTGTAAGGTCGAAATCTTTTGCGGCAAAAAAGCATTATCTGTAAAACGGTCTGCCAAGCATTATGATGGATACTGCGAAAAGTTATATCCGTTGTTCCTAATTGTTCTCCTTTTTTTTTGTTTTTTTCCAATTTATCGCAAATCTTCTATGCCGTTAAAAGTTTCTTTGCTGACCTGTGGTGTGCGGGGCAAATGAATAAGGCAAATAATAAGTTGAGCGCAAATAAACATTACTAACAAATACATACTCATTTGAAGTAATTTCATCGCTGATTTCGGGTAAGCTTTATTATACTTGAGCGAGTAATTTGCAGTAACGAAAATCTAGAATTTTAGCCAGACTATAGCAGACGGTAAACTGCACCAACTATGAATCTGCATATAATGTTTAATTGATATAAATTTTTCGTCCGGATCCTTCGTTAGTCGTACCGATTAAACACATCAGATCAAGAACGTCGATCGTTGGCGCATGGTCAAGTACCCCCAGAAAATAAATTACGCTGAATCTTAAATATCTGATCGTAATTGTTTTCGTGCGTTCCTGTTTGGCCGGCTTCAACGGGTCTCCTGACGCAGAGGGAACAGCCTTTCATGTCTGAGTAGAGGAGACTATAGCACGAATTGTATATAGTTTCTTATAAACGGCTTTCTTACAAAAGCTGAATTCACAATTTTTCAACCGTTTTAATAGCGAATTAGATAAAACTTAACAAATTGAACGGTGCATTGACATGTATGTGAACTTAAAACGTTTGGTTTGAATCAGTATCTCATTGTAACAGCTCTAATCGGTCACGGATGAACTTCTAATGCTCGTAGAACGGCCGTCACGATGAGATTAATTTGTAACTTATTACCGTTCATAAATCACTATTTGGCCAGAGTCGAAACTACGCGTCATATAATTGGATTGAAAACTGCGTAAACAAACTAGGCGCTCTAAGGAGCGACTAGAAACGATAGGTCGTACGTTTGCTAAAATTTACAAACACTTAATTCACGGCTATTTCAGGAGATCTGATACTTTTCTACTGATTGAGGAAACCTATTTACCTAGATCAAGAACTTGTCTATTCTCACTGACAAGTGGCAGTTTCGCAACTTTCCGTTGATTGAATCTACGCCAATTTCGTACATCATTTAGCGAAACCATAGCACCATGGAAATATTAAAACCCTTAGGAACGTGCCGAAGGTTGATTTAACAAAAATCGTAATAAAGTGCATCTCTCTAAAACGAAATAGCGTTTGATTTAGACAATGCTATATGCTATTTGGTAAAGAAGGATCTAAACATGTGCTAAATGACTGATGGCTCTTTCGGTGTCGTACCAGCAGTGTTCAATGCCAGACGTCCTCCGCCGATTTATTACGTATATTCTTGCTTTATCCTAACTAGACACCGCTTAACTGTCAACGAAGAAGCGGGTCTTCCTTATTTTCTTCTGTGGGGCAGTTTGTCTGAGTCAGTGGTAGGGCTCATCGATGTGACCTATCAACCATATCTTACTATGTCTTGTAATATTTAGTTGAAATGATCGCGGATGATTTCTGCGGCAACCACTACAATAGAGAGAATTTGCATTGTACGGCCAGCCTTGACATCAAGCAAACGAATCATTATTATCTTGTTAACATTGAAAACATTAACAACAGCAACAGCAGACGACAGAAAATTGTCAAATCTAAAATGATATTAGGCAAATTCGGCCGAGTGGCCAAAGGATCCCGATGCAGGAAGCGCACGAATTCGATATAATCACACCTGCTTCCAATTCAGACCAAGTTAGTAGGACCTGCACTGGGTCATTCTATTGGTATTGGATATCATAGAAAATCAAGTCCTCTGAAGCAACCTCGTTACCATCTGCAAAAATGGCTGTGGCCAAAGTTATATGGCCTGGGCTTAAGAAAATTTTCTTTATAGGGCATACATAATGGTACTTGAAATCAAGGTTACAATAACAGCAACACTGATGAATATGTGAGTGATTCTTTAATTAATAAACTAATCATTTAGTGCAATCGTAAAAATAAACGTCAGTAAACCTTATAGAGAGAGAGAGAGAGAGAGAGTATTGGGGCCTTTGGATGCTGTCAAAACAAGTTTTTAACCGGCATTTCGTCCAGTGTCATCGAACGCCAATGAGCAACGTAAAGTTACGCACTAGAAACCTGGTCGACAATCCCTGCATCCACCCTCATTGAGCGAAATAGTGTTTCCGGTGATCGATAGATTGCACCCTGCGGATCTATTTTCTCTTTGGATATCCGGTGTTCGTTTTCCAAACGACAATTTCAGCTTCACTTTATCAACCAACATCTTGTATCACTACGTAATAGAATACGAGCTAACAGCAGATGCATCAGAAAGATGGCCAGAGCATGCAATGATAGACAAAACCGAGAACCATAGGCAACAGTTTCTGGCTTGTTGTGCAATAACCACATTAGCTTAGGCAAGAAAGTTGACGAAGATGGCCAGACACGTTTTCTTAGCATTATGCGATATTCTTTTGATGGCAAACATACCCCGTGTCGCCGGTCTTGTTAACCTGTTGTGGGTTTGTGCAATTCAAGTTCGTGATTTCAGTATACAATTGCCTGCTATTACTAATGGAGCATCTATGAACTTCTGTATAACCTTTAACCCCCAGCGCTAGGCCATACAGCTTATAGAGAAGAAACGTTTTTCTGCTAATCGACGCGAAGACGGACGATATTCAGTAAAGCACTATGACAACATAGAAAATATTCATCTGCGTGTTCGCCGTACCTACAAAAATTGGCAGAGTCGAACGAAGCCATTATATTCAAAGGGCCATCCTTCAGTTAATATCGATCAAGCTGGAAATTCAATGGAATTGTATTTTTTTGCTGGAGTCAACACGGCTGGCTTCATCAAATCGAGCTATCCTAAAACCCAATCGGAACTTCCTTTTAACACGAAGGACACCGAAGTTACAAAAATGCTCCTGATTCAGCGGTCTATACTCATTATCCGATAAAGCCGCTTAGCTCGTTTACATAAATTAGTATGTTTCTGTCACACACATTTCAAAATTTGCGCGCCACTTGCGGTAACTATTCGTCATTCATTAGGACATCATAACATCATCTGACTTATTCTTCTGTTAGCCGTGACCTGAAGTGAGGAATCGGGATGGACTTATTTGCTTTCAGTAGATAAGTAGGGGTTTATACGTTTCATCTGCTTAGCTAAGTACTTTATTGAATCTGTATACTACTCTATAAGCACACGGCCATGTATTAATATTCAGGAACGCTCAAACAAAACAAAGCAAAAGCATCACTTTCAGCCCACATATGTCACGATGCCGTAAGTGATTTTACTCGGTGACAGCACAAGGCTGTTATCACGCTAGCCAAATAATCCGTCTTGATTGAGCAAAAAGTCGGCCAAATCAAATCTTCGTATCTTAATTTTAGTCACAATTTTTTCACTGCCGCAGCTCTTTGATTTGAAAAGGTATTGATGACCTGTTGTCATTGGTGTTGGAAACAATTCTCCTACTTTCGTACCGTCATCAAAATGTCTAAAGTAACTTCTACTATATTTGATCAGCTCATGGAAGCTCACTCTCCGTATGTTGACTTATATGTGCGAGTGTGTTTTTGTTATGAGAGAGAAACGCTGCCATGGGCCAACAATACTAAACAAACCTACATTGAAGTTGGCCGATTGCAAAGCCAAGAGCGGATACCCCATGGCATACGTAACTGTAAAGTCCAAAAGGGTAGAGCAGGCGAAACGTCGGCCAAGGACCAAAACCCTATGTGTCGTATCGATTTTCGAGACTTTTACCTCTCCGAGTGTCGATGAATGCTCGAATTTCGGTACCGACAACTCCTCCCGCCAAGCCTTCTCCTGAGCATGTAACCTTCGAAGCATCGCTGTGCACAGTTGTCTGGGTTTCAACCTGAACACGGAAAGGACTCTCTGGTAATGCCACACCGTCCCACCAAACACTGAGCTGATGCGCACCTACATGTGTTGGGGTATAATGTGCCCTGCGAAAATAGTTAAATGAGAATCTTACTTCCCGACCATTGTTAGTATCTGAGAAATTAACCACCTACTGCTTTATAGATTACAGATCTGCTAGGATCGGGTAGCCGAGTTAGGGTAACCTATGCCTAACTTAAACAGGATAAATTGGCTCAACAATTGCCTATAATTGGAATATAGAAGGGCTCAGTGTATAAATTGATCCAAACAACGATTGCTACTACTGAAAATTTGCTTTCGCAAAAAGTACAGACCGCTACATATAAGCTTTTCTGTTTTTTCTGATCGCGACTGATGTCTTTAAGACGCCGTACGACGTTAATTAGCCGAGTGTAATTAACAAATTCACAGTGTAATTCACAGTGTAACATTCAGTGTAATTAACAAAGTTATTACCAAGATAGCTTATGTGTTACCGACGGCGTAGCGAAACACGAATCAATATAATAACAATGTACACTAATTTAGAAAGTTATCGTTTCATTTCAACTCATGTATGGAAAATGCGGACATACATAATATATAAAAAAATACAAATACCCAAAAACTACTTTTTCTACTTTAATAACGTTTCAGTTACGCTTTAATATAGTCGAGCAAATGGCGTACATCGTTGATATCTTGCCATCCATATCAAATGGGGCGGAGGAAAATTTGCGGCCCATGGTATATTGAATCTTCACTATCAAATCAATTTTCTAATTACATAGAGCTGCCAAGATCGCTTTGATGGTGCTTATTTTAGAAGAAGAAAAAAAAAACACTTCCAGCCACACATTTGGAATACTGCGAGAAAGCGTGTAGTCGTCATGAATATATCACATGTGTACATTTGTGATAAGATAATTGTGAAGATGGCAATTTTTTATTGAGCTCAGTTTGAAACTTCTCTTAATATATTACCCCCATCAATTAGTTTAACTTGGGCCAAAAATAGAAATGTAATTACACATGTCTGAAAACATTACTGTGTAGCCGGGTTTCTTTTCTTGCTGTTCAATGTAACAAAATAAAGCACCAACATTTAAATGGAGAGTTGTTGATACGAAACAAATGCAACATAGAATGTCATTGCCTAGGTACTAGAGGTCTACGTAGGACCGTCTTTGTAGCAGGCGTGTTTGTGTATAGCATACCGGAATGTGTTATTGCTGGCCATAGGCGTCACATGAACACTAAGCTGGCCCTGCTGGCCACGAAGTTCAGCTCGCGGCGGCACTCGACTCGGTGACTGTAGAGCTGACCCATCGATAACGAACTCGGCCCTTTCTCCAACACGGGCTTGGGCCAATCCGCTACCCTTGACCAGAACTAGTGCTAGCTGTTCAGGATCTAGAACAGTTTCTGGATAGATCACACCCAAGTGGCAACTTATTGAAAGAATAGACTGCATATATGTTTTTTTTTATCTTGCATTGGTACACACCTACTGATTATCGCCTACAAGCGTTGCTAAATTGCATAGGGTTTTCACAGTCGATAGGAAACGCACTCCCATGGATGTCCTTTTCCAAAGCGGATCCGACTTGTCTATCAACTTATTGTTGTTGGATGAACACTACAAAGTTCCAGCGTACCATTCAGTATAGTTTAGCATTAGAGATATGGGCTTTGACAGAATCATTAACCCACCTGGCGAATGGGGGTCAACAGCATGCCCGTGTACGGGAGTCGGTGGAACCTGCATTCCGTCGTATACTATCAATAACACGTAATCACCTGCGCAAAAACAACATCAATTAGTTATCAAGCAATGCTTATGAAGCTATCTTCAAATCTGCTTTACTAGCTTAAGCGTACGTGTGTAGTTTTTCATTTCCTGAACGAATCTGAATTTCTCAGGCTCCATACTGTTTCAACTATGAGTCTTCTACGTGTATACGCTCTGGAATGAATAACCAGTTCTGCTAATCCTGAGCAAAAGGACAATGAAGAGGTCAGCGTCAACTCTCAGTTGCTTGCACGTGTCGCTGCTGCCATTTCGTTCATGGAAGTAGGTATCGAAGTGTTACTCTTTCGGCCTCTTGCGTAAAAACGCTTTTTCGCAGTACTTACGGACACCTGCTATATTGGTTTATAGCGAAAACAAGAGATCACACAGCATCAAACACTAATCAAAGTTGCCGGATGGTCCGATAGTGAACCGTTATTTGCTATTCTGTTGCTCGCCGTATGTGTGCGTCCTGCCACTACCCAGGGGAGTGAGGTAACAGCGGCAAGACGCAGAAGTCGGAAAGCATTGCTTCTTCTAGGAGAGAGGCCTCCCTCCCCCTTCCCCCCTAGTCATACAACGGCAAAAAATAGAGATTCTTATCGTTGTTTGTGTCAACACGGTGAAGAATTTTAATTAAATCTTCAAACATATTTACTATTATTTTTAAATTACATTCGGAGCATTGTGAAACACATTGTGTGAATACATTTGTGATACGAGGGCATCACAAATGACATTAAACATATAATTAATTTCCCTTTGGTTGGTTCCCGCGCCAGTTAACTGAATAAAGAACACTACGTTTTGAATTGCCGATCCGCGTTGAAAGAAAAGCCACAACATCGAAGTGATTACCCAGTAAACAAGAAAAAGCCAAAACCCGTCGATGCGCGATCCGGAGAATATAGGGGCTGCAGCAAACCCTGCCATTTGAAATCCAGAAAGTAACATTGACGATGTTGGCCGTGTGTGGCACTACCTATTGTCCTATCCCGTAAGGTTTTCTTTTTTGAATAGCCTATTTGACTCGATGCAGCAGAGCCAAACAAACCTGCCAATAGACAGCCTGCTTTACAAAAGGCAATTTTCAGTGATTCATACCCTTACACTATTATCGAACGCAAAACACAACCTTTTTTGGATAAGGCTGTGCATAATCTAGGTTTCAAATAGCTTTCCAAACATTGAACAGCCCTTTTTTTTTTAATTTTTTTTTTCTTTTGCTTTTAAACAGACTGTACAAAGAACAGATGCACCGAGCTAGTTCGGGAGTGTTCCAGCTTCGACTAGATCTATAACCTAGAAGCTACTGAGAACGCACCTTTTCCACCTGGACCATCTACTCTTGAAAAACTATTCCGAATAAGAGCTTTCTTGCCAATCCACTACAAAATCACACTACTTCTATTGAATGTTAGTTTTTGACTACATAGGTTATCCGCACATACACCGTACGATAGATTTATATTTGCAACTTCCTTATGTGTCAGAGAGCACTTAAAATAATTCATATAGAAACTGTCGAAACCGAATTTGAATCATGAAAACTAACAAAGGTATCTTTGCTCATTCGACTGCAGTTTTCTTCAATGGGCAACAAAAAAGACTTTCTCACTTATGTCACAGTCTATCTATTGTAGGGCTAATCAAAACAAATAAGAAGCAGTTTATTTGATAACTTACTTTGAATCTATAGGTTTATCATGTACGCGTTCAAAGTGGAACTTACCGCTCTCGATTGGTGTGAAGTATACCCTGAGTCGATGAATTCCGTCTTTAGCTGGGAGCCGTTCAACATTCACCGGAATCCTCATTCCGTTCGGAGTATCCAGCTCAGCGACCATTTCACCCAAAACACTCGGGATCTTTATGGCGCAAAGAGGCAAATGTGAATACGATGAAAATAATAAACAAGAAGAACAGATTCGGCTTTCGTTCAGACCTCTTCTCATTTAAACGTAAACTACTATTGGTAGCCTAAGTGAACGTCAACAGACGTACCTCAAATGTTAGGCTCGTTTCCTCTCCAACGAGAAGTTTGAGAGCGCCTGTGGTCTCATCGAGGAAGCGTTTCCAGCCGCCGATAAGAGTGGGCCTTGCCGAAGTCCCGTTAGAGGCGCTGGCCAATGAAGATGCCAAGATCTGTGCCCGGAACGGTGAGTGTGGAACATTACATCCATTCCACTGAATGTGGATATCGAAAATTCCACTTTCCAAAGGTAGATAGGATACAGCATACAGGCCTGCAATGAAATTCATACAAAACCAATTTTACAAACATTATTATCATACTTATTACAAATGAAGCACAAATCGTCCTAGAGTTGTGCCAAATCTATCAATTTCATTACATTCATTTTTCGCAATTGATGGCTTGGGGGCGCATATTTTTGTTAACGCGTTTCTAACTAAGCTTGAATGTATGTAGGTAAAGAGCACACGGGTATTTTTCAAAGGTCTTTAACAATGAGAAAAAAAGGCTTCAGTGTTTAATTTATGGACTCAGTCCACATATATTTTATTGTGTATTTAATCATACAAAACCTGTAAGTTACCTTCTTCCACCTCGTCAATCTTAAGTTTCGCTTGATCTCCGCTGGGGGTCTCTACACTAATTTCTGGCATCCCTCGGAGGCCTCTGCCATCTACTCGAAACGATGCTAATGTTCCTTCTTGTCCAGAAGTCAAGCCAGGACCAGAAACCTGCAAAAAGAAAACACGCAAGGTCGTCATTGTAAATGCTTGTTTTATTGACGCATGTAGTTTTTTTCAACCGTTCACTTCAACCGTTAGCTCGTTAAATTTGGCGACCGATCTGTGTCGAGAAACTACCACCGCATAGCTATGTTATGATTAATAGAGAAGAAATATAATGAAGATATAATAATAATGGATAGATCGAGTTATGTGTGTGCACCAATTAGTTTTAGTTCTTACTTGAGGTACTCTTGGGACATTGGGTGAATCATTTGCAATAAACGTGACGGGGCTACCAGGGACAGCTTGTCCGCCATAGTTGATTGCGATGCGGTATTTGCCAGAAACCGCCGGTGTGAATTCAATGACCTCCCCATCTGGGGAACCCTTTACTTCAATCGGCAGATTTCGCCCAAGCGGCGAGGTTACCGTGACGTCCAGTTCGGCGTAGCCTGCATCACGTCTATTTACTGTTGACACCACAGCACCAAGCAAACACGTTGTTAACTCCGAAGATCTCTTACCCTGACACTTCGGCAGCATAGGTAATAAACATGAATACGATTGAGACTTTTCTGTTAAACTACGTTATCACTGATCACATTATATCTTACAATTTTTCTGGATATTTCATAGTATGCGTTGTACGTACGGGCAATGGAGATTTTCTCATTGACGTTGAAGGTCCGCGATTTGACCTGTTCAAGGCGAACCTTAGTTGCGTCAAATACCTCAGCAGTAAACGGCGAACCATGAACATTTTTCCCTTGGAACTCTACTTTAATTATATGAGGCCCTAAAGGAAAAGGATATCAATGTCTATTAAGCAACATAATCACATCGACTTCTTGTTGAACCCGAATGTTTCCTAATATGAAGTTACATCAAATTAGGCTAGAGGTTATATCTTAATTCTGTATGTATGTTCGATTCCCTCAATATGTTCTTAATTCTCTTGTTCGCAAGTCGCATGCTTACAATTCAGTTATGGCGCGTATTAAAGTCAGGTATTTCATAGAGACTTACCTATTTCCGTCGGTGTCCATTGAGCTAATAAATTGCTATCCACTTGAGAGAACAATTTCACTTCACAAGGCTGATTTGTAGGGGAGCTGACGACAATGTCGAAATATTCGGCACTATAACGTCCGGCAGTGTCAATATAAATTCTACTAGGGCGCCAGGCGGGAGCCGATTTAAGTGCGGTACCGTGCACGATGATGTGGCGAGCAGAATCACGTACTCCGATCACTTTCGGAAACTGTGGAGCCATGATTCCGTTAAATTTGACCTCAATAGAATGTGAATGTTCCTTGACAGGCGTGAAGGTTATACGGTGCACACCGACGGCCAGCTCTTCTGTTTGATGCTGGACCGTTTTGCCGTGAGCGGTAACGGCGACATAAAGTTGACCTTTGCCTGCTCGAGTGGTGTCCACTGTGAATAAGTAGAGTCTGTATTAGTGACACGACGCGGGAACATTGTCGTGGATTTAAAAACAAATAAGCCAATATTTAAAATTATCCTAAATTCCTTGTTATATTTGTTGGTATTAATACGCGACTGTCTCGCAACGGTGCGTCTAGTATTGCTTGAATGTAGCATTACTATCATTACATGTTTACCCGTTTGCATAGTATTTCGTAACAAATTTTCTTTCTTCCTTTCGTATCGTTCAGAATGTGTAGTGACTTCATTGCTTTTTGAAGCCGCCACAACGGATTAAGCTCTCTGCCGCCAAGCGCGAGACGCAAAACGATTTCATTGCTTTCTTTGTTTGGTAACATAAGTTCAAAGGTGAAACACGCCATTGCTGATCGAGTACCTACCTGTATGACTCGATGGTCTTACCTCTGAATTGTTGTCGTTTGTTGACAATGCCATCTTCTAAGTCAAACACTCGAACCTTGCTAGGGTCGAACACAGCTACGTGGAATATCTTCGTCCTCTGGTTATTATGCAAAATTTCCACGGTATGGGCACCGATTTCTTTAGGGGTATAGTCCACCCTTTTGAGCGAAAAGTTAGGCATAATATACATCGTTAGTGCATATGTAATGGTAGCTTACTAAGTCTTGTTAAGCTTCTGCAGTTTTTAGAGATGTTTTTATTTAGGCCTTAGATAGTTTTGTGCACACACGAGATACACGTCTATGCGCCAAAAAGGCTCGAAACTCTCAGACGTTTCCATTTTCTGTTTTTCACTAACAGATCATATCGTTTGATCTTTGGCCAGACACAGCCCTCTCTAGACCCAAGCACGTAATTTAGTTAAATCTGATGAAACATAGCGTTTACAGACCTCCAGGCGTTGCCCTTTATGTGGACTGTGCTGGTATCAAGTAGCGTTTCGCTTGGTGTGGTAATTCTTGCGTCGATCTTGTACGAAGCCTGAATGTCGAAAGTGCTAAGAACGTCCACAACGGCCGTCTTCTCGCCGCGAACCTCGAGCACCGGCGTTTTTTCCCGACGCCCATTAGCAGCAAGGGGCTGATGATTTTCTGCCACTTCGAGCCTGAACGGGTTTCCTACAAAACGACGTTTATCCAAAACCATTATTACTACATGTCGATGGTCCGCTGTGGGCATTGAGGACAAATGACTGTCATCGAATGTGGTCGGGACCGAAGTTTCGTCTACTTGTGACAACTCGAACGAGTTTTACGAACGGCTTAAATTGCAAAGCACAAGATTGAAGTGAACAAGAGAAGTTCGCGCATATGCCACACGATTGTCTTTCGGGTTGCTTGCGTGTATAGCGTCGCAGTTAACAAACATGTAGCAATGCTCTCTGGAAGCCTATGGTCAAAATAGACCTGCAGGACCAGTGTCGTTGCTACTTCGTGTCTAGCGAAAGAGGTAAAGGCATTACTCAAGATGTGCGAACGACAAAAATGACATTTTAAACGGCAGTTTCCAATCGTCAAGTTTTGACGATACACATAACAGGCAACAACTGATCATCCGATCTCAACGAAGTTAAAACAACTTCATTAAAAATCACTAACTAATGAATTACAGATAAAGATAAGTTACATACTAGCGCCAGATTCGCATAGTGTCGTTGCATAACGACCGTGCGGTAACTGTTCGGGAATCGATGACCTAGTGTGCTTGAGTGGCCACGCACGTCCGTAATGTACGGAACCTTAAAAACCCTCGGAATCAAGAACGAGAAATGGAGGCTACATAAAAGCACAGGCCATTGAAAGGGAAACCTTGAAGAAGTGGGGATAGTTAGGTTTTTTTTAAAGCCTATAGCCTATTTTTTGCCTATAGCCTCTACGATCGTCAGTGTGGTCTTCAGTGGTCGGCGTCAGATTCAAGAGTTTTCACACAAGCTAAAATTATGGTTCGCTAGTACTGCGTAAGGTTGTGCAGTGTGCTGAATGTTAAACCCAGTTAATAAAAGCCAAATGCGCCGCCAACGTCGGTTGGAAAAGAAATACTAGCTAGTAATGTAACAAGGCACGTGAAGGACAACATAGCAGTGCCCTGCTGCCTTGGACCATCCTGCCCTTGGCCATAAATCGAACGTTTAACTAAACAGAAGCTCAAATAGGTAAAAATGCAATTAGTAATAATGTGTACTTAAAAAAAAATTATCGTGACTCTTACTTCATTGCTAAGATACGATGTCGTAAGTGTGCCTAGCTGAAAGTCGTTTATGCAGTTGTCTAGGTATTACCAAAGTCATACACAATGTTCAAACGAATGAAATATTTTTTTATCGCTGCTTTGTGATTCTAATATCCCAATCTTATTTTCAGCCGTTTGGCTTTTTATTGTTGTTCTCAAATATAGCTATGTCTCTGGGCGAAAACACAGAAATAGAAGAACAGAGCAAGCATAGCACTACCATACATGATTAATTTAGACAAAAAAATTGCTAAATTGTTCACTAAGTTAAGCTTCATTGGTTACAACAATAAGCAACAAATCGAATACAACAAAGAACAAAACGGATAAATGGGTTCGGTCCGGTGTCGGGTGCTCCTAAGTAAGAACATAACAGACCCAAATATGAATGAATTCATGCTATTTTTCTCGTAACCTTAACAGTTTTTTTTTTTTTTCTTTTCATATAAAAACGATCCGAATTTTTTCACTCGGCCTACTATTTATTCCAGCGTGAAAATAACATTTTAATAATAGCTCAAGTAAAATCTGAAAGCTATCTACGCGTACTGCAATCTAAATAAGCTTAGCGCTAGGTAGCTGATCATAAGCGGTAAATTACATATTTTTTTCCACATGAATAATTGTGATTAACTGAGTGTATGCGTATTAATTACTTTTCTACATGCAAATGTACAAAAAATTCAGGCGTATCGTTATCGTACCGTATCGCGTAGTGGGAACCACTACCCAGGTCAAGGGAAGAGCGGCTCTTTCCTTCATAGTCGTCACAATGAATCGTACACACTGAGTGATCACCTGCGAATGATTACTTCACAGTGACAATAGCCGTCTCTGCATTTCGGATGGTATAAAGTACACTGCAGACAAAGCGTTCTGTACAAAAAAAAAACCCCTGCAACCAAACGTCGGCCTAGACGAGGTGGCTTCGTCGGGGGGCTAGCCGATACCTGTCTAAACTGTCGAAGCGCCCCTGGAGTAACACCAAATCGAACTACTGATTTTAACGTAGACGTAAAAACGTGAGCAAATATTCTGCTAGTTCACTACGATTGGTTTCAATATATAAACACAGGCGATGTTTGCAGGCCGATAAGTAAGCAGTCCAATGCAGAGCTGAGATGCGCTACCAGGTAGATTGACAGCACGCGCCCTGCTGCGACAGTAAACTTAAGTAGGCTGTATTTATTGATACAGTCAAGTAGGTATCGATGCCTCAATGACGTACACGTCGAACGTGGTCCTAGAAACACATGAAGCTTCTGCCTACAATCCCCGCTTTGCGCACATAGTTCTAATGCAAACCGATTAACGTTAACACAACAAATATCCGAAGATCACTGACACAAACATTAATGAAATATTATTGACTAGCTACTCAAGGAACGGGAAGATGGACTAGAAATGTATGAGTGAAATTTTAGTGAAGTTTGTCTACGATCCTCTCCTTGGGCACTCGTTCCAGGACCGATCCATTGCGCTGAACTAGAAAGGATCTTCTATTTGATCCGACTGAACGACTGCGCAGATCTATAGAGACGCTGCTTGTTTTTCAGCAGCCCGTTTTCTTCTGTGGGCCTTTGCGTTCGCTAAAGCCAACTAGCGGCGTCCGGTGACGAGGGTCGCTCGCATTATTATTGCCGTCGGTGATAGCCACACAGTTGTAGCGCTAGTGAAAAGTCAGCGTCTGGTTACCCACTGCGGCTGATGTCGGTTCGCTTTACATAGTAAAGATGGTCCTACGTACCCCCTTCCCCGCCACCCCGATGTTCCATTCATCAACAGCTCGACTTGCTTATAGCTGTTCAAGCCGGTTCCGCCGTGGTATCCTGTGGCTTTTGGGTGAGGCGCAATGGGCCAGCTAGTGGCTGGCGTGCGTCGGTGGCTAACGCTATGGTAGCAGTGCTATTGCCGCCGCCGCCGCCGCCGCTAGCGACGGCGGTGGCCAACTAGACGAATGACGCGCGAGGGGCTGCGAAGTTGTTTGCCTAGTGCTAGCCTGATCCGGCCAATAGTTCCTTTCTACAGCACATAGACAATTGGTAACGGCAGAAGTGGTAATAGTCGTCGTCGTTGGCTTACACTCGATGATGATGCTGGCGTGTAACGGCAGCGGCAACGTTAAGGAGCTACAAGACAGCGCTTCAGTGAGCCACAAACCTGCACATCAGACACTTCGTCGAAGCCGTTACAGGCTTAGGACACAAAAGGTGTCTGCGCACCCACATGGCAAGTGAATGCAAGGCAAGCAGTGCGACAGCAAAAATACATGTGTCTAGGGCTTACCGCGTCAGCGGTTAAGCGAATCGAAGTAATTGCCAATCTACTATGCCTGCGCCTTCATAGCGCCGAGTGCCTGCTGCTGGTGGATGGCCGTTTTAGCTTCAACAGGTACCGTATTGTGTAAACTCAAATCCAGCTGGCAATGCTGAACGATAGCAGTGCCTGTCATCGCAGCGCAAGCGAAGCTGCTTTATCATAAGACTGATGAAGCGTAATCGGATAGAGATATTTATGAGGTAGTTGCGGGAGACGGGAAGACCCGTATGATCAGTAAGTTGTCATGGGTGGCTTATAGATAGAGTAAAAACGAGGATGGAAGGGAAAACTAGTTGGAGTGTCACTGTTTAAGGTGACATTTGGCCCGTTAGCAGCGGACCAATACTCGATACTAAGTGCGCACACACAATCACAATATATGAGCTTGACTGCCACTACTTATGGCTGTTAAGTGGGGTAGTGGGAACGGCGTACAAATGCCAGTCACCGAAAAGAATATCAGAAAAATGGTTAAGTATGTGATGACGTCTTATTATTGTAATTCTTGCTGATACCTATCTTCCGTAGCAGCAAAAGAGAGATGAGCCTTTCTGGCAAAAAGCCCTATGATTGCTTTTATGGATTTTAGTTTGACATATTGCCTGAGAATCCTCGTGAGAGCCGCGATATAATCTGACGAAATGTCTCGGGAAAATTTAGCACTATGGCTTATATTGCGAATATCTTCCATTAAAATTAGGTTAAAGTAAGCACAAAAAAGAACAGTACTTACCGCGAGAAAATCTAAATCGTTTGTCTCTCCATTGTGAATCGACTTCTAAGTTCTCTATGATACTATAAATATCTGCCAATATGTTTTGGAAAAGTCGTAACTTGAGCAGCAGTCCTAAAGTTAATTAAAGAAAACAGCAAATATGAGCAAACTTAGGTTTTTTTCCCACCCGAAAAAGTCGAAGCACGTTCCAGAAACTACAAGCGCAAGATTTGCCAGACTTAACCTAAAAATGTAAGTCAAGCCCTCTGGTAGTTCTGGTGCAAAGAAAAAACACACATATTTTTTCATCTAAAAGGTTTCTATTATAAGGGTAACTAATTGTTTTACGTTGGTCAATAGTAAGTTGTAGCTTGAATAGAAAAGATGTTAACCAAAAGTGACGAAACAAGAGTACTGCAGTTGACAAATAGCAGTACACAATAGGATAAGGCTGAAACGCAGGACCTATGTTTCCAGCCATTATAGCTACCATTCCTGAGACTGGCATAAATATATATTAATGATTTTTTTTCCAACCTCTTCTACTGGATATTAGGGTGGTTATGTAACCAATTTCTGAATAATAAACATCTCTCGAGCAATCATCACTAAATCGTGGACCAGCCATCTTAGATTTTTTAAGCTGAAGACAGTTGTCTCACTGTTTATTGACACCGTTTACACGAGCGAAGCTTGGGGCTCTGTGTGGCAGTTGTAATTGTTACGACATTGTGACTCTTTGATACTGATACGTTCCGATAATCTTGCCAAATGTTGCTTTTCGAGCCGCTCACCGACCCAGGTACATTTTAATATCAACAGTAATCGATAGATTCAACTCATAAAAGGATAACTAAGCCGATGGCGACATCTTCGCCGTCCTGAATTATTCGAGGAAAGAAGGGAGAAGATACGGCTAGACAACCTCGATGTTTTACGTCCGGTAGCATTTCATCAGACAGCTGGTTTCCAGCAAACCCACCCATGCCCAGCTCGATCCCAGACAACGACGTATTAACGGGCAAATACATAGGAGAGAAAGCAGCTGGGGCCGGAGGCCGGCCCGCTGCTCTCTCGTTGCTCGCACAGCTTTGAGAAGAACAGTAGCAGCCATATCGTGCCACACTGCATTTTGAAAAAAAGTCATACGGTGTGACAATTGTGCACCCGATGGGGAGATGGCAGTCGCCGGGCGCTATTAGGCACAGGGTAACTGCTGGCCGATTTGTGTACGGTTTACCTGCTGGGCTTGTCTTCCGCTTGTGATCGACGACCATCATCAGCGTCCCGCTATTTTTCTCTTGCCCGTTCATTCTCTCGACGGCAGACAGCCCCGATGGGATCTAAGTAGCGAACCGGCAAGGAGCACAGACACATTGTGCTTGCCATTCATTCACTGCAACGGTGATAGCGCCGGCTATAGCAATAACAATGCGCTACCCAGTTTAAAAACACATACACTGATATAGTGTAACTCACTTATAGTGCAATGAACCGCCAAGCAATATGGGCTACAATCGGCCCATAAGAATATTTGTTTTTCACAAACGTGGGCAATTGCGCGAACATACAAAACGTTGTAATATGTCTTATGCTACGAATCGTTGATGAAGCGGCAGCTTAATATAGCTGGATACTTTAAGCTATTAAACTCATATTAAAGATTGGAAAGTGAGCCGCATGTAAAAATGAGTAGAAAATAAAAACTTTGTGTAATGTCAAAAATGTCAGGTACATCTATTCCTTTTCTAGTTTCAAAAAAATAAAAAAAAAAAAACACGTTTTAGCTTAGCTCATAAAACCTCTCCGCTACGTTACATTATACACCAAATGCGAAAGTTCTATAAAAACAAGATAAGTTACTTTATGGATTCATTTTTTCCCTTACGCTCACCCTCTATGATGCACCGATGGCGCAAACATCAACACTAAATAGGCGTGTGTTTGTCTAGTTTCCATTTTAATATCAAACCTATAAATAATTTGCCCACTACCTATTGCCTGGCATATTCGGATTGACTCCACCGAACGCTGCTAGCTTTCTGACAGCACGTCTGGGCCGGCAGGTTTTTTTTTTTTCGAGGAACACTTTGATACAGTGTAGCTTGTACACCAATTCTAAAGTAAGGCTCAGTCCTATTTTCCGGTTCTAAGTCAGATATAGTATTCATCTTAACCGCGGCTGGGTAGGATGGCTTTGGATTTTCTGATTAGGAGACAAATTTTTGGCTAAATGAATTCGCAGCGTTTTGAGGCTTATTCGTTACATCGTGATAGCATACCTGGCACATCTTCATCGTTGAAGGTGATGTTGACGAAATGTGGAACCGGTTGAGTCGGTAAGAACGTCATATTGTAAACACCACGCGCACGAATCGATTCTTCTGCACGGACTGAACCCTGACGTGTAGATACGACGAGTTCGAGGGTACCTTCACCCGCAGCGGACGCATCCACTGTTAAATGGCCACAATAATCATTACCAAAGACACCAATCGGAGACACGTTGACCCAAGATATGTCTATTAACCTTGACTTGTTTACGATGGCGAAGGGACATAAGCTGCTAGCCAACGTGACTATATGGACCGAGCTTAAAGGCAAAGGTGAAGGTCACTTTATCCGCAGGCTATAAACTATAACTATAATAGTAAATAGACGAATCAATCACTAGATTTAACGGCAAACATTCCACCAAATCTACCTACCAGCAGACAAACCACTTGTCTCTTGGCAAATTTTTACTTTCGTGTGCGAAATTAAGGGTTCAAGTTATCGTCTTCGAAGGCACCGTAAACAACAAAATGTCTGCAGAGAAAATCCCCCGAATGTCGTTGAGTTTTGGGTCTGTCTGTCTGTCTGTCTGTCTGTCTGTAAGTTGTTATGTAGATAATAAGGATCAAGGTCGTATGTCAGGAGTCATTGGAAATCCTTCGCCGTTAAGCTACGCACAATCCCATCTTGTATGAAATTCAGACATCAGCCGAGCGTTGCGTATTTACTAACTAGATATTCTGACTATTATCAATAGGTTCGGGTTATTGGCCTCCCACATTCATCAAAGTGCCGAGCGCCCCTCTAACAACTGGTGCACCCGATTTCGCACCTTCCACGTACTGCTGCCTGCGTAGTGTAGACCGATTAAATGGATTCATAATTTACGGATGTGGGGTATGATCTGCGTGTGATATAGTATAAAGTACCTAAATTTGTCGTCGGTGACGTGCAGTTGCAAAATGCTTGTTTAGGTAAAACAGATCTTCAAGTCTCAGGGAACTAATGTTGGAAACGAACCGCATCAAGGAAAGCAATTCACGGTAACACGGTTTCTAGGATCGCTTCGAACGATAATGTTTTATTTAGCGTGGGCCTGAAAGATCTAAACTCTAAAAAATTAGCTCTGGTAATTGACCTTAGCGTTATGACTTTATGTCTGTGTTAAAGAACGAATGAAAGCAAAACAGGTTGCAATGAAGTAACAACGTTTAAATTTGCCGGAAACAAACGACACTGACTGAAAGATAAAGAGGCGCATACCCTAAAACTTCCATGTACGCTTTTGTATCTATCATTTGTATCGATATTTCTAAGATATGGGTACCTCGAAGCTAATTATTTAAAGAAGTAGCAACAGAGTGAATACTAACCTAAGAAGACAACGGGTTTTCCTACAATTCCACGTGTTAGACCCGATACAACGACCTGAAATATACTATTATTATGTATATTATAGGAACTTGTCCTCAGTTGCTTCTATAAGTCTTCGATATATGAATTGTAATTTAACCAAAAAAGAAATACTGCCACTATGAAAAAATGACGCCGTTTCTAAGCAGGTGTCGTATCCTTTAGTTCGTTCATACTTCCATATAGGTTGTGCAGAAATTTTATATTGACAGCTAGACTTTACGATGTACTGGCATGGGATAGAATAGCTCTTTTGCCATTGGGCAGCCGGATCTGTGCATTTCACTGACCTTGTTTACGTCGTACACATTGCAAACGAACGGTGAGCCAGCCACATGTTCGCCCCCAAGAAGGACCTCCACCCTCTGCGGACCGACTTCACGCGGGTGAAATTCTGCTGAGTAATCTCCAGTGTTGTTTTTCGTAAGGGCCACCGGAATATCCGAACCACTTGGAGCTAAACGATATGTACATTAGCAACTGAACAACTCTATACCTTTTCAATAATATTACACGTCTCTGCATTAGGTTTAAGTGAAGAACACATACATTTAATTGTAAATGTATAGTCGTGTTTGCTTGAGCTAGTTATAAAGATGTTGAAGCGAAAATGTACGGAACATAAAGCAAAACAGTATTTATCGTCCCTAACGTTTACTCATATACCTGTGGCCTTAACGTGCACTGACTGATCGCTGCCTTTTGAGTGGACAACAAACCGGGCTCCGCGAGCCACAGAGGTCATCCTCAGTTCAGATCCGCTAACCGGACTTTGCTGGCAGTCATGAACGATAGCATTAAATGGACTACCAGGTACAGCCGCCCCGTTGAATTTAACCGAGATGCTGTGTACGAGCGGCTCACTGTTACACACCATACGGAAAGAAATTATAGAATTTATAACAATCTGTGTCGCCATCTAAATAAGCCATAAAATCTCTGTCAACATTAATACGACTTGCTTACAATATCAGTGAGACAAGCCAAATATGTCATATCATATAGAATATAGAAATGAATCATCAAACGGAACTAGTCTTCGTCTCCTACAATGTCAGTTGAACAGAGTGCGCTCTCTGGTTTTTGCGTGCCATTTTCATAATTACTATCCGGCAAAAAGTTAATCTTACCTGGGCTTAAAATTCACTCTAAAACGAGCGTTGCCTTCACTTTGCACATAATTCGGCACGTTTCGTCCTCCTACGGATACGATAATTTCCAGGTTTCCAGCGCCTGCTGCAGATGCGTCGATGCTAAAGTACAATGGTCTGCCAACGGTCCCTTCTCCCAGATCCTCAACACGAACCATCAAAGGATCGTACACCTTCAGAAAGGAGACAATTACCGGTATTTCCAAAAATAGGGCTTTACTAAATCATCACTATGGTATACGTATCGACTGAAACAGTATGAACGCTCATGAACTATATATGCGCAAATGAAACAACAATTGTTTGCAATTTCGAATATACAACAATAATCAATAGATAAACTTTAAGTATAAAATAACACACCTTGCATATAAAGGGGGAGCCGGGCACGGGAATTTGATTTACCCGAAGATCCACGAGGTAGTCGCCTGACGCAGAGACGATGTAAAGTAAATATATATTATATTTGATATAACCTTAATATTTAGCGTTTTCGATCAGACGAAACGAACCGAAGCTAGACCACAACACGTCCTTTAGATCAGCAGACAGACAGATGCGTTACCTATTAAGCTATCACGGGGACAGATCTGTATAGCCCAAAACGATTCGCGTTTCCTAGCAGATCTGCTAAATATTTGCTGGTGAAGTTCATAGTTAATGAAGACTACGAGTCACAAAGAGCGTACAGAAAAACTCTGAAGCAGAACTGGCAGAACTGTATGAGTTATTTAAATAGAGAGCACCAACCAACTTCCGTCGGAGTGTACTCGACCGTGTATCCGATCTGAGGGTTTCCAACCATTTTGGCGGGAACTCGATCGTTTCCAGGGCCACTAACACCCACGGCCATCTGACCAATGTCCTATAAATTTTATAAAAATGCAGTTGTTAGCTACGATATTCATTTCGTCTATGAAAATTATACCTGATGAATCAAATTAAATTAGATCGATGAGTATACCACCTAAATTGTTTTGTTCTACGTATAACAATTTCGAACGGTTCTATAACCCAGTAATCGTTAAAGCAACTTAGCGTCTAGCGTGACAGCTGCTCATGTCGTTGAGTGTCTATACTTGGTCCTTTTTCATATTTCAAAACAGGATTGTATATTTTTCTAATAATATTTTCCAGCCTATTGAGATCCATCGTTAAAATATAGAAAAAAAAAATGATATTCTTAATACCGAATATGAATAGATTAGCGTCACGTCTAAATGGCTGGCAAAAATATACTTTAGATAAATTTGCGCATAGATATAAATCGGCACGATGGCCTTGCGCCGCGCCTTCAAACTAAAAAACGTTTAGGTCCGGCAAATGCATCAGGACAACAGTTAAAAATGGTCACGATCGCTTTTACCATAACACGCTGTCGTTCCACTAAAACAGACAGAACTGTGTTAGGGGATTTCATTTCTGAGTAGCTTGTTTACTATACTCGTGCTCTTACGAGGATGACACGTTACCCGGCATATTAGAGCTCTCCAGATTGCTTTGAGTATGGAGGAACGTCTTAGCTTTCGACGACCTCTTCGAGGCTGTGGCTCAACTTTCGATATACTATCAAGTAAAACCATGGAGTGATCTTGTTCTACACCAGCGCGGGCCATTGCACGTTTACAAGCACACATGCTCATGCGACATTGAGACATTCTGCACGATCAAACTGTACACGATCAACTAAAGTTAAAAGACAGACTACACTCGAAATAGCGACTTGGATCCTTTTTACAGTAACAAAAAGAGTACTGATTTATTATAGTAGCAATTAAATGCATTGGGTAAAAAGGTTCATTGTGTTTTTAACAAAGTCGAATCTTGATGAAGACAACGCAATCAGCTGATTTTGTGTAGGTAACGGCAATGCGTCATAGGCGAAGCGCACGTGCCTCACTCAATCACCTCGTGTCGCATTGTTAAAGAACAATGACGCTGATGATCGCAAGACCGAGCAGATTTGTTTCTAAGTGCGTGACGCCGCGCGATCGGATAATCAAGCTTTTGCAAACTCGAGTTGTTGTATATATCGTATAAATTCTTACTAATCTCCAAGTAACGGTTTGAAGACAACGTATTCTAGCACATATGTTTGTCAACTGACCTGTCCAGCAGTGGTGATCTTGAATGTGGTAAGAGAATTGACGGGACATCTGTCCACACCATCTCCATAAGCAGAAACACACGAAAGATCCACAACTTGGCACGTAAAGGGTGAACCTGTGATAATAAAGATAGCGTGTTTGTTAACCATTATTATCGCGTTCGTTCGGAAGCCAATTAAGCGTTACTTATTATTAGAGAGGCCACATTTAGTATACTAAAATGGGAGAAAAAAAAAATCAAACAATAACATTGCGTAGAGAAGCGATGCGTCGACGAAACTGACAACAGAAACGTTAATCAGAGCCAATGATTTCGAAGTTGCATCAATATTTTTTGAACTTGGATTACCTGGAACGTTTTCTCCGTTGAAGTTCACGTCGATTTCATGTGGTCCTGCTTCCTGTGGGGTGAAATGAATAGAGTAGAGCGAGGCGCTTTGGGCTTGAGGGTTTGTTGCAACGCGTCCTCGGTTAACTATTACTTCCAGGTTACCAGGCCCCGCACCAGCCGTTTCAACTAAAGTACCGTAGGATATTTCGAACCGTGCTTGAATTTAGTTCATATATGTTGATACTGTATATTTCAAAGCAGTTTCACACTGGACGGGATAGTTCAATTTATATACATTTGGTTACCAGATCTTCGTAGAGTTTTTATGAGGTGTGCAAGTCGTTTATGCTTCACAAAGTCATCAAAAGAGAGTCTCATAGATTTCAGCCTTCGATACTACTACTGAAATTAAGTGTATTGCATAGTTTTACCAAGGAATGACGCGATGCTACCGACTGTAGCTTGGGCTGGTATTTGACTAACGCAAATTCGGGACACGTCATAGACTTTCCATATAAACGGACTGCCTGCCAGCGGCTGGTCGCGGAATCGTACTTCAATTCGGTACTCTCCTGCAGAAAACAAAAGCGTTAGGTCTATGAGCTGTTCCTAGTAATCGTAGTAGAAGCATCTGGCTTAAGTTCACGTATATAAAGGAACGTCAGTGTTCTGGTCTTTTCAAGTAGAACCCATACAGAAAGTACGGCTCGCCCCAATGTGCATCGATATTCCAGTAATCGATATGCAAACATTCAATGTCACGACTGTCCAATTAGTTACATTTGGCCTGCATAAAACTCACCCGCCATCGCCGGGGTAAATTCGACTGCCAGTTGTTCATCAACAAGCTCGGCGCCATTTTTTCCCGCATTATAATGAGCCTGTGACTCACGAAGCGAGAAGGGAACTACACTCCCATCGGGATTCGTGACTCGGGCAAACAGTTGCGCGGGTGATACGTAAGAGCCTTGAAGAAGCTGCGGCGAAAGAAGTCAACTATTTGGATCAACCGCCATTCGAAATTACGTTGCTTCTAATCTATCGAAACTATCTATCGTTTTGGTATGACAATGGTTATATCAAAAATCTTCACCATTGATTAGTAAACGGCTAATGAAAAGTAAATCTCTCAGTTGTCGTAAGTTTAGTTCCGTATTTGCAGAACTTCGATATCCTGTGACCTGTGTGTATTCTTGAGCCTTAGTGGTGGTGTTCGTTTTGACCGTGCTTAGAGAAGGGCAAAAGCAACGGAAGGGGGCAAAGAAGTAATTGAATCCATACATACCAGCTTAGCTGGGCAGTTAACAGCCGAACAGAGACCATCGTCATCCATCACGCTAACAATTGGATGATGATCGGGAACTCCGATTTCAGAGACAATAACGCTAAATGGAGATCCTGAAAATTCATTATTGAATTCATAGGCAACCTTCAATTCATGAAGTAAGTATATCGATGAGGCATCAATATCAATCAACTATATTTAGATAGATTCTAAATAGATCCGTTTGGGACTAGGCATCAACAAAATAAAGACTAATGAAGGCGCATGATTTAAGAACTGTGACACAAAAAACTGCTTGTTTATTATAGATGATTAGCAGATACAAAAATAGCGGCTGCGTGTAAAAAAAAAAAAGCGTGTTTAGTTACTTAATTTTCTAGGCGTATATTACCTGGAACTGATTTTTGATTGAAACTTATACAGAGTTGATGTGGAACTATTAATTGCGGGACGAAGCACACAGCAAATTTGGCTCCTCCAAGAGGTCGGACCTGCGTCGGAACATTCACTTCGCCAGCATTGACAGTGATTTCCAGGTTCCCTTCTCCGGACGAACTTGCATCAACTATAATATTATTTTAGACAGACATTTATCAGTGAGGAATGAAAGAGAGGAAGAATGGAGAGAAGAAGAAGAAAAAAAAAGCTAAATTACCGTCTTTTTAAACTGTTCTTTGAGGTAACACTCTCGGTACATTGATGTATCTATTTTGGGTGTTTTGCTGAGCTACCAAACAAGCGTGAGGAGTGACAGTTGGCATACAATATATGCGTTCTAATTGCAGACGTACGTACTACTGCAAGGAAAAAATCACGGACCGTTATGCCATGCTCTTACTAAACAAAAGAAAGAAGCTTTGATCTTTATTTAGAAATCGGAGCAAAGCATTTTCTTCCTAACCCCTTCCCACAGTACTCTCAAGATGACCAACGGCTGACGGTCGGAGACGATTAAAATAATGTTTTTACTCGCTGCATCTCATCTTTCCTCGAATGATAACAAGCAAAAGATCGGTTCAGGGAGCACCATTTTAATCCGAAATGAATACTGACGTGAAATCTGTTTCGGTGGGGACATGGCGGTATGCAGCATCAGTGCTCTGATCATTTGTCTAGTTATAACTGGAAACTATCAGTGAAATTATCAAATCTTCTATATATTTTGATTAGACATTTTATTAACCACTTAATTTTAGACTAGAATTCCGGCAATGAGCTTTTTTTATATACTTTAACCCAAATCAAGCACTACTATAAGGGGAAAATGGCAAATGATGTGGAATAAAGCAAATAAAACTCATACTTAACGAGGTTTCCAGCCAAGAAATACTTTCTGAACACAGCTTAGAATATCACCTAATTGGTCCTGTAGATTTCCAACTGCTGTCGACGGTTTCCTGGTCAAAGGCTAGCAATTGCACTTATACATAATGCCATGAAATAACATTACAACGAAAACCCAGCTGGACACGCTTTTACATTATCGATGCCCGAGTACAAAGTCCTAACCCACTCCAACTGCTAACGAAGTCCACCTTGGATCCGCTGTTTTCACTCACTGTTAGAACGAAAATCACAGTTCCCGCTTAACTGATCCTGTGGTCAAATCCTTTCCGCTGTAGATAATAAGCAACACCATTATAATGAGGATAATTGTCCATAACACCTATAGACGTTCGGTATCGCATACACATACAAGCAGGAACCTATTGAATCGAAATGTGTTTCCTGTGTTGTTATAGGCACACCAAGCACATCTGACGGATTCAAATAGTACTGACTCCGATAGCTCCGACCGCGGTAGAAAAATAAACCGTACGAAACGTGCAAAGCCATTATTATATTTGGCGAACAACGCGATTGCTGCCATATAAATCGTACAGCGTGGCCTGTCAGGTTAGACGGACAAAACGGACCCTCCCAGCAGATGCCACCAAATCAAAACCTTCGCTATGCTAGCAATGACATGCTACGTCATAACGGCAACAGCAGCAGCATTCGGAGCGTAAGGACGAGAAGTGGTATTTTTCGCATGATTTTGCGCGAGAGGCCACGGAACGTCTTGTTTCAAAGACGACATTGATACTGACACCGAAAAACCGCGGTTAGCGTTAAGAAGGACGGATACAGTGATGGTGTTTCCTTTCGGCAGTTTAGGGTCGGACCGGCGGCCGCGCTTTCTTTGGGGGTCAAGCCCATTGATGCCCGGCCTGGCACCGCCATTGCGACGTCGCAAAACAGCACGCGCTCACACAGTACATACAATATTAAGCAGCGGCAACTACTATTTCGGCGCGACGTCGCCGATGATGCGGGATTCGTCTCGGCTGCGCTGGCTGGACTCAGCTTCGGCGTCAGCGTTGCTTTAGGCACACCACTGTAGCCATGTTTCTTTTTCTGTTGTCGACCAGATGCGAGCGGGGTCTAAAGATTCGTACAGGGCGGGACGGAACCGCTAGAAAACTGGCCTGCGGACACAACACTGTTGTAGCATTTAACACAGAGACGCACAGGGCGCGAGCAGAGAAGTGACAGAATGGGACACGTTTGCTGTAGCTACGAGCGCCAACATCGACCAGAGTGCCGACCACGCTGTAGTCGACCAATCGAGCTACTCCGGAACAGATAAAGCCATACGCCTTGAGCAAAAAAAGCCCAACAGCAACATACGATAGCGGTCCCGTAATAGCTGGGCCAGTAGAAACGCTCAAGTTGCAGTAAGCAAGTATCGTTACAAAACCGTCGTTAAGCTATAACGGTCCCCGCGGCCAGCAGAAATGGTTCGGCTGCCCAATTCGAAGACTAATCGGAGAATACATTTACGGGACTGCTGTTTAACTTCAAGTGCGGCAAAGCAATAAAGTTTCCGCAAAAAAGAACAATAAGATATTAAATCACAGAATCAAGGAACGAGGGTAGTGTGGCACAATTTACGCGCGTAGTAGAATTGAAAACTGATCATAGTAATTGGCAACTGATGCCGTGTCAGGCTGAAAGGGCACCATTTCTTTCGCAGATATGGTACAGCCCCCTACCGAATACTACGTGGAGCAGAAGATGCGAGCCTTGTTGACTATACACATGAATTAGATTACGCGTGCTAAGACTTTTTAAGACACGTTACCTTGAACTGAATAGATATCGCTGTTATCACTTATTACTGACATTATTACTTATCCTAGACCGTGAATGTCTGCTCAATATGGATTCAAAAAGATGCGTAACGAAATTGCATGATATAAGACGTTAAACTCGTTGATTTTCAAGACTGCCCTTTGCTACTAGGCCTATTTCTAATAGAAATTCTAAGGAAAGTGTTCGGTTTAGGGTATTCAAGCAGGCCCGAGTTTACAGAAATTAGGCAGAGAGTGATAACCAAATCAGGGTAGTGGCTTCCATAGGGTCGTCGCTCCAACGCATCTGCAGTGCCCACGTGTTACGAATTTTGCATTTTCTACTTTTAGCTATGCCAGTTTACTCTTAGTTATACGAGTTATGCCAGACGTTAGATGGCATACCCAAGGTTCCTCTAGCCTATTACCACTGGGGCTTGTCGAAGTGGGCTTTACATACTTCTAGCGTCAAAAAACCTGGTAAATGTCTTGAATAAGCTTTTTCACTAGTATGCGGGTCTTTGCTTCGAGTCGGTGGAGTCACGACAAACGTAAAAAAGATTTGCGTTCATTAAAAATGGCCCCGTTGGGTACCGAAATATATTGTGCAATTACGCTACATACCGACAAACTCGACGGTTTCCCCGACAGCCCCATTTGGAGCGCGCATGACCTGCACAAGTCGCGAATCAAAACATCTCACATTGGCCGGTGTTCCATCGAGACTTTGCCCGTTGTATTCGACGTTGACGACATGAACGCCCACCTATGATCAATAGATAATATCCACCATAAAATATAAACGTTTAATTGAGAAGCTATGTATTGTTACGTGGCGATCGGGACTGCACTTGTTAGAAAATAACACGTCCTCCCAAAGACAATACTAGGTACCTGTTTAGGAGTGAACTCGACAGTGACCACGTCTGCTTCATAACCGGCCGCCTAAAAATATGACCATCCGAAGAAAAATAAAACATTGAATCCGTTTAAATTGTCTGTTATGCATATTTATTAGGTACCAAATAGCATTGTCTTGCTATTTAACCTATGCTTGAATGGATCTATGCTTGATAAGTTAAATTAGATTGCTATTACTGGATACACATACCTTGAGGGAAACCGGTACGCTGTTTCGTGACGGCGAAAGTACACTGACTCGGATTAACTCCCGCTTACCCCCAGGAATTCGGACAGCAAAAGAGACCGGCTCATCTGCGGGAACCAGTTCTAACTGAGAGAGATCTACCCGATAATTGCTCGCTTTTTCAACTGACGTGCTCTTTGAAGTTGTTTTCGTATTTCGCCCGATCTGAGCGCGGATTTCAAGCGGACAGCACGGAACAAGAACCCCGTTGAATCTAAGGGAAAAAAAAATGGTTTTACTAGCAATAGCACTATCTGCGTCACTCAATTTTTTCTTCATGTTAGACAGTTATCTAAAAGTAACACACACCTCTATGTCGATACAGATCGCTAATTCTTGTGTAGCAGAGTTCACAGATCGAATGGCTAGCTTATCTCTCTCTGTATATGAAGTGAAACAGGATTGTTTCACTCCATATACCATATGCTTTTACCAGCCGCTTGTTCAAGAGAGGTCTTAAGCAGACGTCCAGGTAATCAGTACCCTGCTGGAAAACCACATGAGTTAATATTGCCGTGTTGTCAAAAATACTCTATTTCTGAGAAACCTAACGAAGCCGAGAATGAAAAACGTCAGAAAACTGGCCCGTTGGACATTTTCGATGATTCTTGGATTCAGCCGAGTCAACGAATTTCTTCTATCACTGCCTATCGATATCGATCAAGTTACGGTAAATTGACAGCATACGGAACCAGATAAAATAGGTTACACGTATTATTAAATTTAAATAGTTTCGATAAGGTCGCGTGCGGAGATTCAGCTTACTCGAGCATCCAACATGGTATCGATTAAAAATTCAATGAAACACCAAGACATTTGTAGTAGTTCGTTCGGGCAAGCTGGAAATTTACTGAAAAACCAGTAGACTTTCGTTTGAGTATTTCTATATTATAACACAAAATCCTCTATAGCTATACTGGAAGTAAAAGTTGTTCATCGAACGGCTAGTTGAAAGCGGTCTAAACTGCGACCTAACACACAGGTTCTAATCATTTTAACAAAAATTGCTCATCTCTACGAACTCTGACCACAATAATCACAATCAGCGCAGATGCTAGCGGAAAATAATGTGTGAGCGATGTCGAACGACGACCCAGCCCCAGCAGACCATTCTCCTGAGTGGGTCAGCTACGCGTACCTAAGAAACCTACAAGTTTGATTTCACCAACTCTCCATTTCACAATCATACTAGCTTACATTACATCTTAACATGATACTGGTAGAAGGGAAATATCGAAGCGCACTGTTATTGATAATAACAGATCATTCGTCGATATAGCAGAATAAGGACACATGTGCACCCGGTATCAAGAAGCAAACACTATCAGACGACCTCTCCGTACTCGTATTTATGCTAATGAATCTCTATATATATATAATATTTTGGTAGAAATGGTGTAGTGTTAAGTTGTCGATTAGGTAACTTGAATGAGAAATCGTTTTCCAAGTTTCAGCTATCTAAGCACCCGCAAGTTATCAAAGTAAGGGGTATGCCGTGTTACGAGTAGACCAGACGAAGCTCATGAGGTTTACGGGCCATGCATTTGCTTATCTCCGCTCGAAGAATGCATTAAAAATCTTTGCCTCCTCTCATTGTCCCTCAAGCCGCAAACTGACGGCTGTTGTTATGCCTGCACTGAGTGAGGAAAACAAGAAGCCTGTATATTGCCTACCATTATATTGATTTACTTCATAGTAACAACCAGTGATGAATATAGCTTAGATCAATAAATATATCTATTCAATAATTTATTTACAGTTCACTATCGCTCTCTGTATATAGTTGGTTTTATCATGTCAATCAAAGTTGGCTCCCTACTTTCGGTTGCTAACTAATTAAGCTCCATGCGTATTCTTATGCTCGATAATCTATATTAGAGTTTCTGGATTGATGGAACATGATTTTGTTGCAATAAAAATGCAATTATCTCCTTTCCTACAGTTAACTCTCAACGAGGATGAGAACTCTCAAGGATAGCTCTCAACGCAGTTAGTTGAGTACTTAATGCGCAGTTTTGTCTTCATTGTAGTACTTTATCCTGTGTGCGCACCCTAGAGATATGTTCACGGGTAGCTCTTCCGTCTATGCGTAAAGGTCTCTTAGATCGCTACCTGATTTCAACGATGTGATTGGTAGGTTTTTCTGGTACAAAGGAGATGATGCACTTCCCGGATGACAGCACTTCCACCTGATTCGGAACTTCGCCGTGATTCACTGAGATTTCCAACTGGCCTTCGCCTGCCCTAGACGCATCCACTGATTCATCAAACCCAGTGCAAACAAACAATTATTGGGTGAAAGCAACTCTAGCGGGCGTGGGAATATGAAGATTACCCAACGAGTATCTCTGGTTGACTTTTTTTTATGAACAGCATATGAATGTTACTATGGCACGCAATATCAATTTTAATTACTACTAATTAGATGTGAACGTGCAACACATACACATATATGTATGTATGTATGTATGTATGTATGTATATATATATACTACGAAGTGAAATATCGTAATAAACCGCTAAACAACTAACCGTGAAATTGGGCTGGCTTTCCCACTTCAACGACTTCCGGAACCTGTTACAAGAGCGTGCACAACGTTATGACGATGCCTCAATCATTCAACTGAATCGTAGGTAGATAGATATTATAAGGTAAACTTATGGGCTTCGCTCGTACTTTTATATGAAAGGCTTCAAACTATTCAATCTACTCTCGATCAAGCTTCAATCTGACGAACAAGTATCCCTTTACAATCCACCTATCGCAGTATACCACCAAGTTATTGCGTTTTTTCATGGATTTATTTCAACTATGTCTGTTAATTGTTGCGGTTATTTTATTGCCTTATGCTAAAGTTGTATTAATGCTATTAGGCCATATAAACCAACCGATTAAAGTAATTCTTAACCGGCGATTTAATCAATTTATTGCTTGTCCCAGAAGCTTGACTCTGTTACCTTGTATTGCATCTAAGTTACAGTTAGCTTACTGCACTAATCTTGACATTTTGCCATGGGAACTCCTTTTCAGCCTTTTCATTATCCTTTTTTTTTTTATTTTATTTATCTTCTTTATTTTACTGGGGTTTATTTCTTTACTTCAGTTGATCCATCCTCTAACCTCGTCACCACATCGCGCTAAACTTCCTATACGAACAAATATCTGAGCACAACTTTTAAATTGTCAATAGTTCCAACAAGCTGAATTTCATTACGTCACTATACAAATGTAAAGCTAATCTTCAGCCTTATACCCGGCATTAGTGTGCAGTTTAGACTTTAAGTTAAGAAGTTAGATTCTAACGTATGATTTGCTGTGAAATTTCCACCATCCCATAATTTTGCTAGAGGTACCGTTACGTCGTGCCGGTCTAGTAGCTCCGTGTGAATTCGATAATCTATAGCATTTAGCTCGTTTTTTTGCCTATATAGCTAATCCGTCACCCAGCCGCCGTATGGACATGGACAAGAATGCTAAAACTGTTGGCCTGACATCGTCCCGTTATTCTAATATTAAGGCTATTGTAGTTCCATGACGTTACTACACTTTCTTTCCTATTGTTCGTAATCTATTTTGCGACCTTCACATCTACACACTTATTTTGACTATTTTCAGCCCGTTCTGCAAAGAACAACGTTTTCCATTCAAACGGCAAAGATAGAACAAATCCTTGTTTTAAATGAAGCTTTGTATCTACTTTACAGGATTTAACAAATAGCAACGAAGGTAAATGTCGTTGAAACAGTCCACAGTTAGCGAAAAGTTGTTTAAGAAGGGTCAAACTGATTCAAATTAGCGTTATACCCTATGAATGCAAGATTTATAAGTTTGAAAAAAATTATTCGGCCAACGACCAAAGCCGAACGTGCAGCCCATTTCGGGACAAAACGCTGCCAACCCAGGCAAAATCAGGCCAAAACGAGCACTTGGCAGGGGGTGACTGCAGACTCACACAAGCTTTGAGTTTTAGTTGTACCTAGATACAATAATAGATAGACGTAATCATCTAGCTGTGTGTAAACTGTAACTTAGACAAAAACGGCTTTTCTTTTCTGTTACATTCGGTGGCGTTGTTCTATTCAAACTTTGTATTCTGAGTCTTAATGGAAATTGTCTCATCCCGCTGCAGAATGGGTGGAGCTTGATGGATCACCCTTTGAATTAGTAGAAATATTATTTAGTTTTACCTGGGCGAGTTGTATTCGCGAAGCATCGAAGGCTCTGCATGGTAAAGGACATTCTGGTAGCCTTCGACCGCGAACGACAATATCTAGCGCGTAATTACCCGCCTGTTCTACGTGCACGAGTATATGGAACGTGCCTGGAGAGCGTCGTTCGACACGGACGGGTACCGCCATCTGAGCTCCAGTGCCGGCTGCAATTGCAGATTGTGAAAAAGTTTGGTTTATGTATGCAGCCAATACTTTTTGTATAAAATACAGTAGGTACATGATGCCCATTATGGAACACCGATGAACTGTCTAGTGCACGTTGCTATGAAATATTATACTTAAAAGTTGCCATCAAAGAAATCTATAGCACGATATATATATATAAGGGAACCTGATTACATGTATAATTGGTTCTTTTACTATCTTTCAGCTGCATGTCGAAGGCTTACAAGGCTATCCTGCTTCGGACATATTCCGCCTATTAGTACTTCATTCGCGTACGATCAATTGCCTCGTAAAGGAAATAAGCGCCTAGTGGGGTTTTTCTCGATTCACCAGCAACCGAATGCGCATGTCGCCTTCGTCGGTCAACTGGGGAGAATAGACATTTTGATGGGTCGCCTGTCATCACCGTTTATCGTCAAAATATTCGTATGACTTTGGTTGGTTAAAGCCCATTTTACCTTGATGAATGCCAACCACCGCTGATTCACCAACCTAAAATTGTCAACGGTTGCGAGTTTAAACGGCTGAGCTGGGTTTGTGTTAGCCGTCGCGAAATTATTTAGCATATACATTTCTACACTGGCAGCTATCACAGATAAATTTCGACAAAAATTAGATGTCAATGGAGAACGATGAAGGGACCAACACAAGTGATCGTTTCGACGCGAAGTAATAGCTATACGTACGATGTACGTATGAATAGCTTCTATTCAAAGCCTGAACGAAGAACGAGAAGGTCTCGCAGCTAGAGAACGTACCACATAGAGGCGGTTCTCTGTACTGAAGACGATGCTGATCGGCTCATTGTGTTTCGGATCATAGTTTCGGATCGGCAACGCCGCGTTGCCCAAGTACACACATTACTTTATTCAAAATAACGTCGATCATCTTATCGCTGAACTTACAAGTTATACAAAGCCTCACTTAGTTGACATAATGTAGCAAACCCGTCCATCTTTTATGCAGTAGTTTAACAAATATAAGATCTGCAAATTGTTCAGGTATCCAAAGTCAATGAAATGATAATTTCTCGCTGTCACATACCAACATGCACGAGTAACACTTGAAGTTCGCTATCGGTGACGTTCGGGGGAGTGAGTAACTGAACCAGGTGATGTTGTCTTGCGGAGAACTTGCGAAGTAAATGCGCATCCAGCAGATTACAGCAGTCTGCATCGCCTCCGTTCGTCGGTGACGATGCACCTGCAGGACGTACGCCATTGGTTACCCCTGGCTGAACTGGCGAGAAGTTCCCAGGATACTGAGGCGACGGTAGCTGTGGAGTTCCACAGTCCATTCTGTCAGGAGCTACCCCCGCAGTCATTCTAAAACAAGGAGCAAAGCAACATTAAATTAGAATTCCCCTCAGCTCGTCCAGGGTAAGCAAAGCTTAACGGCAGTAGCCGACATAATACCTGAAACATCTGGTAGACCTACGTAGGTATAAGGAAAAGCTCGTTAGTGGAACTTCAACTGCTTCTGTTTCTGTATTTCTGCAATGAAACTAAGTGAATATGCATGTTTGCCCCATAACAGAAACTCCGCAAGGTTTTTTTCTACTTAAATAAAGCTCTTGCAAAAAAAAATGCTCTAACCTTTGATCTAAACTAGATCCGTTAAAAAGACGTCATGTAGTGCTAAACAGACGAACTCTTTTGATCGAATCGAGGAGAATAATGTAAATAATAATTATATGAACCATTTCACTTGAAGAACAATGACTTCGTGCATACCTTCGCAAAAAAGCCCCTTCCAGCCAACGATAGCCGTGCTTGCTTGTGACAAAAAGAATATAGGATACCTAAAAGTGGTCACAAACTATCAAACGAATGGCGCTGATTGCTGAAATAATAACATGTGTCTTTCTAAGCTTGTTTATATTTATTTACATATGTTTGCGGTATTCGTGGAGCCTAACAAGGCAGATGTTTAAGCTATCCATAGTGTTCTGAACATAGGAAATTTCGTACCTTTGCGCGAATGCATTGCTGAATACAAGGAACAGGTATGGACGTTGTTCTGCTACGATCATACGTAGAAATCATTTTGCTTAATTTCTATCGGGTACATAGAGTCGTTGTTTTATTCTGCAGTCGTAAAGGTAGCTCCGCTATAGAGGATAAGGACTCTTTGGTTTTTTGCCCAACACTTCAACTTTTTTAGCAAACTAGAAGCAACGAATTGAATATAATTTGATTGCTTATTTAAACGATCTTTACAATAAAAAAAAAAAAAAAAAAAAAAAAACCGCTCGAATTTAGACAGATTCTTCACTGTACCATGTTCTCGACATTGTTTACTACCTCACCAGAAGTGCTTTTTGTCCTTGAATATGAACTTCATTATTTACTTTTACTTCTAAAAGAATCAGAGTCTATAGACCAATCGGAAACGATACTCACGCTGGCGACAACGCCATCATAACTCATTTTCACCTCAGATGCTTTATCATGCAGCATTGATGAAAATCTAACGTTATACAATTTTGTATAAAATTTTCATCTATTAGCTTCCGAACACTTAATTTTACGAGGGTCTATTGCCAAACACTGAACAAGTATTCCCAACGAAACTTATTTGATTCTACCGGAGACAATATCCTATGCTTTACATTTCTACAGATGTACATAACTGCAACAACTAATCGACGTGGCGACCAGCCGGCTAATACTTCTATGCGGTACTGTATTGTAGCTACCTGCTGGCGTTTTTGTCGGTAGTACAGTCCGATCGAAGAGTAGGTTCCGCTCGATCGACCGGTCATTTTGTACCCAGCAGAGGGGTCTGCATTTGTTAATCGTCCATTTACAAAAGGCCACAGCGATTTTGCCCTTTCGAAGGGACGAAGTTCATCAGGGAACGAGCTGCTCGACTGGCAATCAATGTCTGTCTCTGTAGTAGGTCATACGCGAGAAGCTCTACGTTTTCCCATTGGATATAGCGATGTTTTGCCACGAGCATCTCAACGTACGGCCTATGGCGAAAGCTGCCCCGCCATTGACGCAATACGTTGGCCTCGCTAGGGACGCGTATTCTTCTTTGATCAAATCATCTAAAGCGATAGTCTGCTTTGACGACGATTTTATTCGTGTATGTAGGATGGCGGTAGTGCTATCGAAGACGCTGTTGGCAGAGGCCGGAGAAAAATCTAAACATTATAACTAGTCTATTTGACAGGATGCTGTCAAAGATAGCATCGGAACTAAGAAGAATACGCTCAGCAAGGCGCTTGTATGATACTGAATTTTAAGGAGGCCTTTGTAATATAATGAAAACTACGCTACAACACGTAAAAACGTATCGAACATTATCTTCTATTGGTCCAATGAAATTTCGGCGCTGTAATGTAAAATATTTGTTTAGATCTTAGAGACATATTTGTGGCGAACCATTATCTTCCATGCAGTAATCACTACCAAGACATTAACTATAAGCAGCATCATCATGAGTATCTTAAAAGCAAAGATGGCTCGAGCACCGCGAAGCCATTTGTAGCGAAGTTACATTTCTGAAAAAGACGGTAATGCTGATATATTATGTTCACATAGATCAGTATGAACATTTTGATACGTGCATGCACCGAAAGTCGCTCAGATCGCTGTACCAGTCGTGAATCCGGTAATCTTTCAAATACTGAGAACGCCGGATGTCGCCTCATTACTATGAGCTTCTATCATTTTAGACAGCCCAAAAACATGGCTCTTCTGTACAAAGCAAAAACGAAATTAACGGGTGTCTTATTTAACGCGCTTTGTCAAAAGCCGAAATGAGCATACCTTCTTCATTGATAGATGAGCACTAATAATCATGGACACGTTCGTAAACAATAAAAACCACATAGAGAAAAGGGTAAAAAAAAATGCTAACAAGGGGTATTTCATTGCGTAATTAGTTAGATGATAATTTCAGTAAATTGGTCTAGCTAAACAGCTTTCGTGTGCCCCTAATTGTTTTGGCCTCGTCGATTCTAAATAACATCACTCGAACTTCAAGTTCACCGCATCACTGTAGAAGGAGAACATGTAATGCGGCAATACGGACCCTAGATGAAGGTCAGCTGGCGATGCTCTATGAGACTGGTCTTGTAGCCGGTCGTCAAGCACAGAACTTACCACTGTGAAGGCTCGTTACGGTTCGGCCGATGGCCACAACTAGCACAGGTGTTCCTGGAACAAGCCACATAGAAAATACTACGGCCGGGAAACTAGTCCATCAAAGATGAATTGAAAACCATTGTTCATCGACGAGTATTTCTTTGCCATGGTGACAAGTATGAATTCGGTGCAGGGAATGGTTGTATCCTTTTTCTAACATGGGTTTAAATGTGATTTCTCTCTTTTTCTCAATATTTGTGCTTTGCTCATAGAAGGTTGTTCTTTTTGCCAGCAGCATTATTCGTTTATTCAAAGCAGTATATTGCCATGTACGTTTAGCAGTTTTCAACATGTTGTCCGCTGAGAACGTACACTTATTTAGACATATATATATATATATATATATA